GGGGAGGGGTGGATTATATAATCATTTTTATTTCGCTACGGGGGGCTGCACTGGCCTTATCGATGGATCTCAATCGTTTTATTACACTGTTAGAATTTTTTTGAATTTTAAATAACAGATGCATCTGAATTTTCAATATTCTGAACTTGAATTCAGCAACGAAGTGGTAAAACGGTACAAGTCAATTTTGACTGTTGACCAGGTTTTGATAAATATCTCGGAATCTAAGGGAGATAGCAAAATTTTTCAGATAAAAATTCCGGAACACTCCGAAAAAATTTCGCGACAGTTCCGTAAAATTTTCTACAACCACATTTCGCTCCGGAATTACGGAAAAAATACGTAATTTTTATTGAATATTTCTCTCAGTGTAATACTCAATTTTCTACATTTTTCTTCTGGAATCAAGTAAACGGTTTCTGATTCAAAAATCATCAGAAATTTTCAGACGGAAGTCACGATTTGGAAGAGATTAAAATGATATAATTGCTTCATAATTAATATTATAATTAATAATAATCGTGACAATAACAATAAATTTGAATTAAAAATAGCAATCAGTGCAATACAATTAATTACCGCCATAATAAAGGGTTGACTGTTATCGGCTATCTTGATGCCATCTTGATAATACCAATGAATTTTCATCGTTTTCGTGGTCCACATGATCGGAAATGGGTCAGGTGAAATGTATCTTCCCTGCAGGCGTCTCGGCTAGGCCTTGATTAATTATTTTGGGGAAATAATTGACGCAATATGGAACTTTGTTAACGGTTCATGATCATTAAATTCTCGTGCACCAGTTTCAACCGCGGAATTTAATAATTTTCAAGGCTGCGGGGCGGTCTATCGAACGGTCCGTTGTCCACATTTTTCGGTTGAGTATGTAAATGGGTTCGAAAGTAATTGGAGTAATTGCTGTAGCCAGATTGTTTGGGTAGAGAATGTTGGCAATTGTCTAAATATTTAGATGTCACTATTATATATTATTTTCTATAGAAATTGCGGGCCATGAATTTCCCAATTTTTTAAAAAATATTTCAAGAGAAGAAGTACAGAAAAATCGAATTCCATGGAATATTATCATTTGAACGTTTCTATTGAACAAAACGCGCAGACGATCTGCGGAATTCAGTAGCGACGGTAAACCGATTTACGTCGACTTAGCTCTTCGCTGAGTTTTTGAGGAATATCTCCGAAGCTAAGCGAAACAGCGAAATTGTCGTCATAACCATTTTTGTAGATCTCAATTCGCTTCGTAAAAAAGGTCATTACAAAAAAATTGCTATCTCCCTTCGGTTCCGAGATATTTATTAAAAACTGACCGATAGTCTAAATCGTAATAGAAAATCGTAATCTCAATTGATGAATTTGTTTCAGAGTTACTAGTATCACAAAAAAAGTCAAATGGGCCGTTTTACACTCTCCCTTAGAAAATGCTCGTAATTTTAAAAAATGCAATTTCAAAATTATTTCATCAATCTTCCTCCAAAGGAGACTCTAATTTTTTTCAGATTTCTAAAATGTTTTCTGACGGTTCAATATCGAGATTCAAATTCAGACCTGCGAAGTTTAAATAATAAAATCATAGTAAAATGTCCGGTAACTTATGGTCAAATGGAGCACTTCATCCACGACAAAAGAGAACACTATCACCTTCAACAATAACTTAACAATAATTCTCAATGTCGCCCGGAGATAGACTCGCATAATTTGCTCGGAGGCTCGTCACCATCCTTGAACGACAGGTGGACAGAAGGATCATATGTGGGTGTGTTATCACCGGTATCTCCATTACTGCATTGAAGGGGAATAATTAAACAAAACAAAAGTGCAAACGCAATTAAGAGAGGAAATGTGAAATAACCGCACCCGTTTCCGTATTTCTGTCACTCGCACTGGGGGAGGGGGCGCCGCGTGCTGAAAGCCAATCAAAAAAAATTGAATTGTAAATACGACAATCAAGCGAGGAATTGCTTATCTAATTCCAATTATCCGGGATTAATATGGTAATTGCAGGCGCATGTGATTAATGAATAATCATATGTTTCGAAGGGATATAAATCTTGAGGATTCGTGCAATGTCGTATGGAAATGAGATTTCACGAGGCTTATTTATCGTTATTTATTGTCGTCATTGTTTATTATTTTCTCACTAATTATTGAGTGAAATCATTCACACGAAACTCTTCATTTAATTTTTTTCTGGTCGTTTGGACAAGATTTTTTGGGGAGAATTAATAAACTGATGTGTTTATTAATAAATTTATTTTGTGTATGATTTCGTTTCTGATAAAGTCTTTATTGGTATTAAATAAAATTGAATTATTGAAGAAATACCTCATTAAATGGATTAATTATTGAAATGAGAATGATTCGATAAATTAAGATAAAAATTTTCTGTTCATTTCAACAATATTTGTTGTCAAGAATTGATAAATTAGTGTATTCATTTCATCCATAAAAAGAATTATTGCATGTTAATAAATTTGTTTTCTTCGCTGTTGAAACCGCGATTTCAAATCTAACAAATAAAGTATTTATTGGCAATAAAAGTAAATTAAATTATTGGAAAAATAACTCATTAAATTGATGAATTATTGCAATGAAAAAAAGACGATGCAATAAATTGATATGCAATTTTCCTGTTCATTTCATCCAAACAAAGAATTATTACAAATTAACAAATTGGTTTTCTTCGCTGTTTAAACCGCGATTTCATTTGTAACCGATAAATTTTTTATCAGCATGGAAATAAAATAAAATTAAATTATTGGAAAAATAACTCATTAAATTGATGAATTATTACAATAAAATAAAGACGATGCAATAAATTGATATGCAATTTTCCTGTTCATTTCATCCAAACAAAGAATTATTACAAATTAACAAATTGGTTTTCTTCGCTGTTTAAACCGCGATTTCATTTGTAACCGATAAATTTTTTATCAGCATGGAAATAAAATAAAATTAAATTATTGGAAAAATAACTCATTAAATTGATGAATTATTACAATAAAATAAAGACGATGCAATAAATTGATATGCAATTTTCCTGTTCATTTCATCCAAACAAAGAATTATTACAAATTAACAAATTGGTTTTCTTCGCTGTTTAAACCGCGATTTCATTTGTAACCGATAAATTTTTTATCAGCATGGAAATAAAATAAAATTAAATTATTGGAAAAATAACTCATTAAATTGATGAATTATTACAATAAAATAAAGACGATGCAATAAATTGATATGCAATTTTCCTGTTCATTTCATCCAAACAAAGAATTATTACAAATTAACAAATTGGTTTTCTTCGCTGTTTAAACCGCGATTTCATTTCTAACCGATAAATTTTTTATCAGCATTGAAATAAAATTAAATTATTCACTAAATACTTCATTAACTGGATTAATTATTGAAATGAAATGAAAATAATTCAAGAAATTGATGAAAAATTCCTCTCTCGTTTCATTCACAAACAATAACAAAACAATTTCTGTCTTCACACGTCTTAAGCCGATCAAACGGTTAGATTGGACATTGGCGGTCTATCAGTTCGATCAGCGGCTGAAGGACACTCCGGTCAACAATGGGAAAGTCTCCAGCGCAGTGTATCGACATATGCAAAGATGGAACGTATCGGACTCGTACCTCTACCCGAAAAAAAAAATTCCTCACTCGCGCAATCCAATTAGTCACATTTCTGCTCCCGTTATCTCCATGATTTGTATTTACTCTGCGATATGGATCGGCGCATTGACACTAGTGTGTCAACAAACATCGAGAATAAAAGGGATATTGCATCAGACTGTATCCGCGCAGTAGTGTAATGTCTTAAGCATCGGTGGCATGCGATGCTGAGATAATTGATATCAAATTACTCATGAAAATAATTGCCTCACTGGGATTTCATGTTAATGTCGGAATGTTTTGTTCAGGAAGCGTCGTTCGCTGATACGTTAATGATTTATATGATAATGAAGTGTAGAGCATCGTGAAAATGCGCTGTTTGTTGCGAATGGAAATTGGTAAATCATTTTCGCGAATTTTACGGGTTCGAGGGGGAATCCCAGGTGATGAATGTGAAAATCATGGATGGAGTGCAGTACCTGGAATAGTATTTCAAATGAGGCTAAACTGGTTTTTCTATTAATATGCCATTAACATTTCATTTGCCAGGCTCATCACAATTTTCTCGGATCGTGCGGTGACTGACGTTTTTTTCGGAATTTTTATTCTTTTGGGAATTTGGATTCGAACGCACGGAGAGAAATATTCAATTAAAATTACGTCTCTTTTCCGTAATTCCGGAGCGCAATGTGGTTGTAGGAAAATGTTTTTTCATCACGCTGTGACGAAAAGTGATCTTTTCGGCACGCTCCGCGTGCCTAAAAGTCCAATTTCCGCGACATTGTGATGAAAAATATTGTTCGTAACTCGTGAAAAATGTTTTTTAGCTCGTGAGATTATATCATCTAATAATCAAAACAATAACAAATGATAATTTTTTATTATTATCATTTTAATAATTAAAATGTGCGATTTTTGAAAATTACGAATATTTTTAAAAAATTATAAACAACCAATTTTCCACCGCAAAAATCGTTTGCTCGGAATCGCCAGGAATTAATTTTCATATTCAGAATTTTACCAGAAATCGATTTCCTGCCTTCAAACAATTTCAATTATTCGAATTTAATACATAACAAAATTCAGTGTAGAAAACCTCGAAAGATCCGTTTCACTCGCGAAATTTTCCGCATTCACCCGGAAAATTGAAAAATGAATAATTCTACAAATGCTCAAATGTTATGACTGAAATGCGGACAACTCCATGACAATTCGCCCCGCGCCCCGCCATGAGTGTACACGACCTTCATTATTTCTACCTTTCGGTTGATCCCGAGAAGCACAACATCCAGCCGTGAGCTGGTCAAGCGAACGTATAAAAGAAATAAACCCAAGTGTTGTACTTCATCCTCCCTCTCCATGCATGTGATTGTCTTTCACCGGATTATGTTGGAAGACGGCTGAGGTGTCTGAATAGATAATCGGTGGAAATCGTAGCGCTACGACGTCAGCGATCTGCTCCGTATCGCAGGGAGCGCGGAAACAGGCCCCCGTTGGTTTTTTCTGCGAGTTCCGGGAGAGAATCAGTGCTTTTTGTGAATTGATTGTCCCCCAGTGCGATATCATGGGAATCAAGTTGGCTATTTTATTACTCTGTTTTTTTTCGTCGCAAGCATTTATTGGATCCAGCGCGGCGGAGCCGGAAGTCAAACTTCTGCATGTGGTGAGGTTTACGAACAATAGATAAATTATTTCGCGATTTTTTTTCATTTTTTTTTTGAGTTGTGGGGAGGAATGGGGAAGAGTTCGGCCGTCGTGCGGTAAAATGATTTATATCGATTCTACGTGGAGGAAAAAATCTACAAAATATCCTTGAATTTCAGTGATTTATCTTCGAGGATTTTTTACCGAAACTCTGGCAGTAAATGGAATAAGTCTAGTAAATATTCGGTATTTTTAAGCCACGTGATTTTTGGGGCACAACAAAAGGCTAAAAATATATAAAAACAATTTTTTAATATTTTAGTAAATAATACTATGAGACCAGTGAAAATGGCGATATTTTAATTCTTTGCTATTCACGTGAATCTGAAATTGTCCATTCAAAGTTGTCGAATCTTTAGATTTTCAACAAAATTTCTCTTATAATTTTGTTTTCCTGTTTTTCAAATTGAAGTATTAAAAAACATTTTTTTACTTCAATTTTTTTTCCAAAAATTATAGAATCAGAAAATGACATTTAGTGTTTCACAAGTTTCCAATTCAAAAATTGATTTTTTTTTAGATTTTTAATCAATTTTCGCTCATAATTTTTTTTTCTATTGTTCAAATTGAAATGGAAAAATTTTTTTTTTTAAATAACATTTGTTATTTATAACGCAATAACATTTGTTTTGACAAAATTATAAAAAAAAATTGAGGCATTGAGTGATTCAGAAATGTCGAATGTTTAGATTTTCAATAAATTTTCGCTCATATTTTTTTTTCTATTCTTCAAATTGAAGTGAAAAAAATTTAAAAAAGCTCATTTTTTGTTTCAGTTTTTTTTACAAAATTCTAGAAAAAAGGCATTGAGTTCATCGTAAGAATTCCAGCATTTGAATTCTCAATTACTCTTGCGCCTCAGTTAATCGTTCAAATTGCAAAAACCGCTCACTTGACGTGAACAAAGCGCAATGGGAAATTACATTTCTAATTTATTCCTACGCAGAGCATAATGTCTTGCATCATTGCAGTGATTCTGCGAAAACTTTCGGGAAGTACCCCGTAAAGCCTGTCTTATCGTGAATTTCCAAACGATTGACAGCGGTGAAGAAAACATAGACGCGCGCATTAACCGCCAAGTTCCGTCATCTCATGAAATATTCAGGCGGATTCCTGCGCCATTCCAAATTTAATCCTGTTCTTGATTTTCCGTGCCACCAATTCCCTGTCAATTCATAGCATTGAGGCGAAAATAATGAGGATTATAGCTGCTTGTTAAAAGGAGTTGTTTCAAGGTTTACACCATAACTTGGAAAACCTTACGGTTCCAATGTCGCACTGAATACTAGTCAAAGTAATAATGCAACAAAATGGTAAACCACAATAATCACGAGAAATAAATCTAGACGAACTAAAATCAAGTGGAAAATTGCTTTTGTCTTCAAATAGCTATTTTTGGTGATAAAATGACAATTTACCTCCGAAATGCCCGTGTAGGAAAAACATATGTTCGTTGATGATATCTAAATTAACATTTAAAAAATTAATAACAATATTTAATAAATCAATTATTGTTATTAATAATATTGATAACGAACAATTATTATTAATTATTAATATTATTCCATTATTTATTATCAATTATTAACAAATAATAATTAATCAATCATTATTAATTAATAATATATAACATATGTTATGTTTATTTATGTATATGTTTATATTATTTGTTTATAATATGTAACATATACATGAGATATATCTTGAAAATATATTTTTGGCAAAAAGCAATATCCACGATTTTACACATCATTTTTTCCTATTGTACGTCATTTATTGTTTTATATTATTTTGTTAAACTGAATTATATTTCTTATTTCACCAATTGCGTTCGATTTCTTGTTAAACTCTTGTATAAATCAAATGAAATAACGATGCTGTCTGTATTACCTTGGCACTTTGATAAAGTGATACTGGAAAAACTTTTTTCCTGCACTGAGAGAAAAATAACAGAGTTCTCAAACAACTCTTACTTGCGCCAAAAAGATTATTTTTAATTTGTTAAAAATTATTAAAAATGCATTGTTGTGCGCCGAACACGCGAAGCGTGCGCTGAGATTGAAAATTTTTATTGCAAAAATAGATTGAGTCTGCAAAAAAAATTCATTCTCTGTGCAAGCAAGAAACGTAATTACTAGCGATACTTCTTCGTTATTGGATGCTCCCATACGTATTTTGCTCCCGGCGAATGCTCGTTTTATATGAAATGGGGGATAGCAGTTCGTCGTTTCGGGTACCATGATTGCAGACAAAAAATGAATTCTACGAATTTGTAATACATTTCTTCGTTTTTTTCATTACTCGAAATTCAGTTGTTCCGTCATGGAGATAAGGTGCCCCACAAGGAGTATCAGAACTACCCGAATGACCCGTGGGGCAATCACTCGTATTTTCCCGTCGAGAATGGAGGCTTGACAAATGTAAGTGTTTACTCTTTGTTACACTTGTTCTACGAATGAAATGAAATATTAAAACCGTATACACACTCCAGATGAGAAAAAATATAGACAATAAAATTTGATGCAAGAAAATTAATCAATTAATTAATTAATTTAATTAACTGAACATAAATTACGTTTACGAAGTCGCCTTTTATGATTTCTGAAGTGTTTTACGTGTTTTACGCTTGAAGTTGAAGCGCAAATTACGCTTAAAGTCGCCGTAAATTACGATTCCATAAATATAATTTACGCAGTCATTGAACAACATTTAGTCATTTTATTATTTTGTAGTTTTGCCATTTTCATTAATTCCAAGATATTCCGAGGCAACTCATCGTGAAAAGAAATCGACTGAACTCATTATATTACGTTACTAATACAATAGACAAAAATTGATTTGAAATGAATCATGATCTAATGTAGAAAAAAAGCAATTTCAAGTGCAAAACGCGATGTTTTTTTTAAGAAAATGGTTGAATACGTTTATTAAAATCATAATTTACTATTTGTTAAACGTAAATTACGCTCATCAAAACGTAATTTACGTTTACTTTTTTCTGTGTGCTGAAAAAAAATTTATTCATGCTCATGGAATTTATTATTCATCTTCGTTATTCAACAAAATGGAACATCACATTAAAAAAGTACATAGAATTGTGCATGAGACTTCATGAAGGAGTTGTTATTGAGAATTTCAAGACGTTTTTCCCTGAATTTCAGGAGTAATTTTCCAATTCTCCAATAATAATTGAGGCGGACAAACGCCCGAAAATTTCGGCTCAATTCTTGTCCCCACCAAATTTACCTGACATGAATAAACGTTTCTCTCGGTGGATGTACACCTCCGATGTCGAATGTATCGAACGACTGGCTTATATAAACTAAGCCCGCAACCGTCGGGGGGCGGGAAGAGACGATAACTGATGAGACACTTATGTTATGTTAATTGACAGGCCGTCCGGATGTGGCCGCCTGGGGATAAATTGTCTCAATTCAAGTCGAACTGACATTCATACCCAGAGTCTGTGAATGTCCGTTTTGGGACATTCTTTGTATCCAATTGTGTAGTTAATCCCCTCAATGTCATTTCCCTCCGTCTGTCAGAGCCATTTTCTTATTATTATTTATTCAAGTCGCATTGACAACTGTTCTTGACAACTTTGTTTTTCTTTAGTCAGGTGAACATATCCTTGAATTTATGGATTAATGGAAATTGATTAATAATGGAAATTAATGGAGAAAAACATGATAATTTTCGTAGTGGTAATTGTTCTCGTGAGACATTTATGTCTTTCGGGTAAATACACTCGTTCTACAGAGAATTATATGAGGCGCCGGCTTTATCAAGTGAATGTTATTGAGTAGTGTATATCTTTGTCCAATAAACACTTATAATTTCCATGGAACGAATGATAATTTCAAGAGGAAACTACAATTTTCTTGCCGATAACTGTGTTATTGGCAAAACTAAATAATTTCGGGGGACAATTTTTTTGGGAAAAAAATATTCTTTCCTCGTCAATGTATTGTTTCTGTGGTATAAACCTATGGAGTTCTCTCAGATCAAATGATTGGCGTACAATAGATTATATTTTCCCTGCCAACAGTTCGAATTTTTCTAGGGATATTTCTGATGATCACGACGAAATTTAATTTCTGCGAAAGATATTCAGTAGCGAAGCGGTAAACCGGGTTAAGTCGATTTTGACTATTGGCCAGTTTTTTACGAATATCTCGGAATCTAAAAGAGATAGAAAATTTTTTGTCGTGACCTTTTTATAGCCCTTAATTGGTTCTACAAAAAAGGTCATGAGAAAAATTTTGCTATCTCTCTTAGGTTCTGAGATATTCATCAAAAACTGATCAAAAGTCAAAATCGACTTAACTCGGTTTACCGCTTCACTACTGTATTGAATTTCTTTTATGAAGGTATTCTATCTCCTTCAAGTAAATCCGTCCCACTTCTCCGGCAGAGCAAATTTCTTCTCTCAATTGGAAATTTCCCGATTTTTTTTAAATTGCAGGGAATGTTGTCATTAAAAATTCACAATTTGATTAAAAAATCAGTGGCCCCTGCAAATTTCAGTTCAATTATTCCATGAAAATGAATAAAAATCAGGGAATTCAGGTAAACCTGTTCTTGAATTTTTAATTAATCGAAAATTCAGCCTAATTTAATACTGAATATTCATGTTTTCATTAAATATTCAAGGAATTGTGGGAAACATCGTCTCTCCGCTGCTCAAAACTATAAAATTTCCTGATTTTTCCTCTCCAAATATAATTCACCATCGCTCCCCTGAAAATGACTCCTAAACTGTCCACGAAATTTCAATTTTTCCCTAACAATTCAGCAGCGAAGCGGTAAACAGGGTCAAGTCGATTTCGACTTTTGGCCAGTTTTTGACGAATATCTCGGAATCTAAGAGAGATAACAAAATTTTTCTCATGACCTTTTTTATAACCCTTGATTGGCTCCATAAAAAAGGTTATGACACAATTTTTTCTATCTCTTTTAGATTCCGAGATATTCGTCAAACACTGACCAATAGTCAAAATCGATTGACCCCGGTTTACCGCTTCGCTACTGAATTCAACTGATCTCCACAGGAAGGAAAACGTCGCGAGTATAAAATAGGTGAAATGTTGCGAGAGCGATACGATAAATTTTTCGGTCCACATTACACCCCAGAATTGATCTACGGGCAGTCAACGGATCTCTCGAGAACCCAGATGTCCCTTCAACTCGTCCTCGCGGGGCTGTTTCCGCCGGCACAAGAGCAAACCTGGAATCCAAGACTGCCGTGGCTACCGGTCTTCACCACGTTCACCCCCAGCGAGCGCGACGGACTGCTCTTCCCTCACCACTGTCCCGAGTGAGTGATTACACAGAGAAAAAAGATTTTCAGCAATATGTCATCAATTTTTCGCTGACTAGAATAAGTCTGATCATCAGTGACTTCTATCACTGAAATCTGATCTTAAGGGGAGACTACTATGAGTTTTAACAGTCACGGGCGATTGGAGTGAGATTTCTCATACATTGAAGATTAATTAGATATGTGTAAAATCGAATAATTAGTGCAAAAAAATGTATTGTTTATTATTAGTTTGCCCCGAACACGCTTAAAATATTAAAAATAGCCCAGGGCCTCAAATTTCAGAGCCACAGAGGTGTCTTTTTTATCAAAATTTGTTGCAAAAATACGTGTAATAATTACACACAAATGAATACTTCTCTCCGTGGGAAATTTGACGATATCCGGAAAAAAAGTGCGAGACTAACAGTGAAAATTTACTTAACGTGAGGGTAATTTGTACCAAAACTGTAAAATTTGCAATTCATTCCCTTTCTTTACAATTTGAAACCTTTATTACCCCGCATCAATTATTTCTAGATACTCAAAGGAATACAAAAACTTCCTGAGTCAAGATCACATCCAGGAAATGATACGAAAATACAAAGAGCCGATGGATTATTTGAGCGTACACACTGGGAAAACTGTTGACAGAACGTCTGCGGTGTATTATCTGTATAATTTATTCAAGGAACAGGTAATGTCCTTATATTAAGATGAATTGTGGTATTTAATAATCACTCTTGACATTTTAAATTCAAATGTGAAATTAGCATAATTTCTTTTTCAATTTTATTGCGGAGTTTATGACCTCAATAGATATTTTTCGGTCGAAAAAGTTTGAAGAATATTGAAGTACATCGACAAATTGATTATAATTTTTTGTTGATTGACAATTAACCGGTTTTTAACTAGTTTTATTTTTTAATCCTATTTGAAATTATCGATTTGAATAAATTCAAATAGAATTAAAAATTAAATATTTTTTGTTTTAGTGGATTTGCAAATCACTAGTTTCAATTTTTAATTAATTATTATGAAGTTATAAAAGACTGATCAGTAACTCTCAGTGAAAACATGAAGACTCGAAGAATTGGGGTTTAATCACCAATTTTAGACAGAACTTTTCGAGTTTGGCAAAATGGACAGTTGAAATTTTTTGAAATACTCGTAACTATGAAACAAACTAGTCGAGTTCAGTCTAGGCTCATCACAAAGAGGAAGACTTGTGCATTCCAAATATTAAAATGAACTCTCATTTTCAAGGGAAAAAAAAAAAAAAAAAAAAAAAAAAAAAAAAAAAAAAAAAAAAAAAAAAAAAAAAAAAAAAAAAAAAAAAAAAAAAAAAAAAAAAAAAAAAAAAAAAAAAAAAAAAAAAAAAAAAAAAAAAAAAAAAAAAAAAAAAAAAAAAAAAAAAAAAAAAAAAAAAAAAAAAAAAAAAAAAAAAAAAAAAAAAAAAAAAAAAAAAAAAAAAAAAAAAAAAAAAAAAAAAAAAAAAAAAAAAAAAAAAAAAAAAAAAAAAAAAAAAAAAAAAAAAAAAAAAAAAAAAAAAAAAAAAAAAAAAAAAAAAAAAAAAAAAAAAAAAAAAAAAAAAAAAAAAAAAAAAAAAAAAAAAAAAAAAAAAAAAAAAAAAAAAAAAAAAAAAAAAAAAAAAAAAAAAAAAAAAAAAAAAAAAAAAAAAAAAAAAAAAAAAAAAAAAAAAAAAAAAAAAAAAAAAAAAAAAAAAAAAAAAAAAAAAAAAAAAAAAAAAAAAAAAAAAAAAAAAAAAAAAAAAAAAAAAAAAAAAAAAAAAAAAAAAAAAAAAAAAAAAAAAAAAAAAAAAAAAAAAAAAAAAAACTCATTTCATGATAAAATTCAAATAGTTATGAAGATTAAAAAAAAATCATACGTGTCCATTTCGCCCCACTCGTTCTATCCTCCCACGATTTTTCACACCAAATATTTGTCCATAAGGCTGCGCAAAATCTCAGTCTCCCGCACTGGGTACACAAAGTTTATCCAAATCCCATGAAAGAGATCACGGCCCTGGATTTTCATCTCAGGTCCTACACGAGGCGACTCAGACGTCTGAACGGAGGCAAGTTGCACGAGTGAGATTAGAATTACAAGATTTCTCGTTGTGTCTGCTCAACACTGCTTCACAACTCACAACTGCATTATTAATTCTCGCATTTTCACAAGTAGACCGTATTTTTATGACGGACATTATCCTGGCACTGACGTCAGTGCCCAATATTTGAAGATCTAAACTAGTAGATGTTTTATCCTTTACGTTCAAAAAATTTCTAATCTTCTCTAATGCCAGGTCCTCTCCTGAGGAAAATAACCGAAAGCATGCGAGCCCTAAGCTCCGAAAGACTGGATCCACCCACTAGAAAGGCTTTCTTCTACTCTGCCCACGAGCTGAACGTGGTTTCGATGGCGCGAACTCTGGGCACCGACGACCCCGTCATCCCCCTGTACGGCTCAGCAATAATATTCGAGACCCTCCAAGACGAAAGGAAACGCTTCTACGTGAAGGTACATCCAAGTAGCATTTGCCCCGCGTCAAATTAAAACCTGAATCTTTCATACGGCTTCGCTTTAATTATTTACCCAGAGCTTGAGATGAAAATACCTTTCAGGTACTCCTGTGGACCGGAATTACCGAGCATCTGGTGAGCCAACGGATTCCCGGCTGCCCTGAGCTCTGTCCCCTTGACGACTTTCTCGACATTTTACGGGAGGTAATACCTAACGAAAAGGAGGGCAACTGTTGGTCACACCACGACAATGAAAACCAAAAGCATCGCCGACTATCCGAGGGCTCAGCCAGCCACAGAGTCTTCGCGGAGTACTCGACTCTCGTGACACTAGTTATCCTCTCTTTTATGTTCCATTAAGGGTGCCAAGTGAATTTGGCGATGACCTTGAAAATTGACATTCACCAACAAAGTTATAATTTTTTTAATTAATAGGGGAGGATGGGGCAAAACGGCCCCCCTTCAATCGTCAATATTTTCCGATTCAATAATCCGATTGGGATGAGTTAGAGCTCGTTTTGAAGAATGAAAAATTATCTTCAAAATGAAGTTGAAACTGGGAATTTTCACAATGTCATTCACAAGTTATTGACAATTGAAGGGGGGCCGTTTTGCCCCACCCTCCCCTATTATTAGACAGGTGGTGAACATCGGTGACAATTTTAAAATTTTAGAACTTATGGATATCGAGAAATTACATAAACAAAATCAGTCTTGTACACGGCCTCTTATGGAGTTTTGATTAAATTGACGTTTCAACCCCCTAGGAACTCAAGAAAAATTTGAAAAAATTTGAAGATATGGGGAATGATGTGTTCAATGTGATGGCGACAAAAAACAATGGGGTACCGGGGTGAATAAGAGAGATATTTCAACCCGCCGTACCCATTTGATCCCACGATTTCTCGAGGTTCGTCACGCGAAATAGAGGATTTTCCGCATTTATTTTCTCGATGTCTAGTTTCGGTTGCGGGTTTGAAATTTCGTCGGATGGATGAATACATATTTCTCCAATGATGGGGAGAAAGAAAAAATTTTTTTTGAATCTTTTTTCAAATTCACTTGGCACCCTTAAGGGGAAACGGAACCCCTTTGACTGTACGAACTTTTAGAATTGTGTTTTCTCCTTCAATTATTAATTTTTATCTATGAAACTACTTTATCGACTCGATCGTTGCATTGTTGAGTCAATGAAGTAGTTTCATAAATATGAAATAAATTTTATACACTCATGAGTGCACTATGAAAGTGAGTGATGCATAAAAAAATTGATATGATAAGTAAAAAATGAATGAATTATTTTACTGTACAAAGAGACACGACCAATACTCATCATTATTAAAAAATAAGGGAAGTGGGATGAATTTTCTTGAATTCAGTAGCGAAGTGGTGAAGCGGTTCAAGTCAATTTTGACTATTGGCCAGTTTTCAATGAATATTTTGGAATCTAAGAGCGATAGCAAAATTTTTGTTATGACCTTTTTTGTAGAGCCGATTGAGACCTACGACAAATATAATTACGAAAATTTCGCTATCTCCCTTAGATTCGGAAATATTCCTCAAAAACTCAACTGGGAGATAAGTCGACTTGAACCGTTTTACCACTTCGCTACTGAATTATTCCGAAAATCCGAGAATTCTCTAGAAAACAATTTTCTAGATAATTTTCTAGATTCTTCTCGAAAAAAAAAAGAATTTTTCCTAGAGTTTTCTGAGAGGGCTGTAATACGAAAGATGCAGTTCCAAACCTTGACAATTCCCCTCAATTTTCCCATTCGAAATTTCACCCGCAATTTTTCACCAGTGAATAATCCACCGGTACCAATCATTCAAAAATAAATCCCCCCGTCCAAGTTAAATTAGAGTATTGAACGGCCGAATGCAGCGATATAGATAGAATTCAGATCGATTCCTATATTTTCTACAACCGCGAGGTGAAGAGTTCAAGAACCTCGTTTACCCCAATAACACTTAGCAGATCGTTACAGTGAGCAACATTATATTTCACCGCCATTTAACCTTTCCCTTAATGAAAAACAATTCTGTTCAGTTCTCGAGGTGCGACGGGACAAAAAAATATTCTCTTAGCAACAGGTAGAATTGCTGAGGTGCGAGCATCTCGGGTAGTCACAAAGCTGCACTTTTTTCTATTGCCCCCACCCCCGCCCCATCACCTCTTCAGGTAATGTCTCCCTTGGAGAATGATACGCCGCCTTCGCGAGATATGAAAGACGCTGAGATAAGCGGAACGTTTTTCAGGGATTGAGTAAATCCTTTGACCCGAAAAAGCGGAGAATTTCAATTCCCGTAGAGTTTTAATGCGTCCGCGGAGGAAATTTTTTTAACAACGGATATTTCCGCTGACATTTCGGGAAATTTTTTCATTGGAAAGTCACATTTTGATGGAGACGGGGGTGACTGGGGGTTTAGCTTAAATTATTCAGGGAGAATTGATAGATATTTGGGACATTCGTCTCAATTTGACAGTTGGAAATTGTTATTATGTGGGATATTTTGGTCTCATTTACAGTTGAGATTCGGGCATTCTCTTGGCTTCACATTGGAAAAAATTGAATAGGAAAACCTAGCGAATTCGGTAGATTCTATTGAACTTTCTAATAGTTTTTGGTCGATTTTAAAAAAATGAAATCAATAGAATTCGATTTTTTTTCTATTGAGATATTTTCTATAGAATTTTCTCGCCTCAAATTTTCCAAGTTTTTTTCATCCTTTCTTTTCTTCTCTTAGGAAAAGTTAGGAAATTTGAGCCGAGGAAATTCTGTAGAAATTATTTCAATAGAATAAGTTATAGAGAAATCGTCGATAGAATATTTTCTATTGGCCATTTCAATAGAATTGTCCAGCGAATTCCATAGGTTTTTCTAGGAAAATTTTTTCGTGCGTTTTCATCCAAATTTCCGTCGTCTGAAGATAGTTTACTGAAATGTCTATGAGATTTTGTTGTGTTTTAACGGTTGGGTACAGTGATTAGATTTTTTTCATCACGTCTATCCGAAAATTTAATGAGAATTGATGCAGGTAAACCGATTTTCATTCTTAATTAGAGGAATCTTATTAATTATTCAGTGAGAATTATTAGGACGAATTTGAGAAATTTATCTCAATTTTATAATTAATATTCTCGTTGTTCAATTCAAAAATCAAGTTGGAAAATTTTGGAGTTATCTTCACTTGAAATTTATGCATTCCCTTAATTTTTCCCCTGGATTTCCATCTTCTCAAGATAACTTACCGAAAAGTCCGTGAAATTTCTTTGTTTTTACAATAATTAATTCCTCTCCTCATGCCCAACCCAAATCTTAATAAAAATTTAAATATAAAAATTAAACTTCATTCTCCACCAGAAGAATTTTCAACATCGAGATTAATTATTTTGATAATTGTGACTATAATTTCTGTCGATATCTCCATGAGAATTAGTGCATTAGAAGGGTAAAATCAATTAAAAAATTGATTATAAAATAAACATTTGTCCTCCTACATTCATGTTTAACGGGAGAGGGAGGCGAGTCAATGATAGTAAACGTTAATAGAACAGCGGAATAATTGTTCTCTCTGCGTGGGAAGCGTCAAATGAATGAATAAATAATATTACACCCAATCCCTTCCCCTATGAATCACCTCCGAACACATGTATCGGTAAATTTTTGCAGTCTACTCACCATTACATCATGCTTCCCAGCCTTGACGCTCATTCACAGGCTCTCCTGCATTTTTCGCATTTCAACACCTCCACTCAACACTTTTATTTCCACCACTAGATGTTAATTCAATCGACAGTTTTTTTCACTCACTCAATTCCACGTTTGTTATCAACTCCACTTGAAATACTTTGATTGAACTGTCACATTCTCTGGACCGATGCATCAGGTAAAGTCACACCTGTATCACTCACTCACGCAGGGATTGACTCAAAAACAAAGTTTGTCACAAACAAAACTAATCGAGATTTTTCGAAATTCATTCGATTGAGTGATTGGGAGGAATGAAGAATGACATCTGCTGATCGAAACCGATAATTTTGTCTTCCACCTTTCATTTAAATCGACAAAACATTCACGTGAATCGAATGTTAAAATTCAAACTGCTGAGCTTGTAGATAATCACATCACATTTCAACACCTCCACTCAACCCTTTTATTTCCACCACTAGATGTTAATTCAATCGACAGTTTTTTTCACTCACTCAATTCCACGTTTGTTATCAACTCCACTTGAAATACTTTGATTGAACTGTCACATTCTCTGGACCGATGCATCAGGTAAAGTCACACCTGTATCACTCACTCACGCAGGGATTGACTCAAAAACAAAGTTTGTCACAAACAAAACTAATCGAGATTTTTCGAAATTCATTCGATTGAGTGATTGGGAGGAATGAAGAATGACATCTGCTGATCGAAACCGATAATTTTGTCTTCCACCTTTCATTTAAATCGACAAAACATTCACGTGAATCGAATGTCAAAATTCAAACTGATGAGCTTGTAGAGAGTGCCCCGAAACAGACGAATTATTCCCCCCTTGATCGCGATAAAGTAGAGACGAGTGACTTCAGACCGATGGTAAGTTGTCTGCAGCCAGTAAAATCTCGACGAAACTGCACGTCCGACTGCACAAACACATGTGGTTATTGTTGCTTGTCAAAAGCCCTGAGACATCTCCTGTTCTCGTCTTTGCTGTGTGTTGCTGATAATTTTCGGAATTAGTTTTGGGGCTCGTCATGGTGAATAAAATTAGAGCTGTGTTGATTGACCTCAGTGGAACTCTGCACATTGATGATTCTGTGGTTCCGGGGGCTGTCAATGCCCTGAAACGGTAGGCGATCATATGACCTTAAGGTTTCGTTTAAAGGAGCTCTACCCTTCGGCCGGACCACGCTGTACTTTCGGATATTTTCAGATTTTACATTTTTCAACTAAATTGCATGGAAAAAATTTGAAGTAATTCATACCCAGTCAGTATTATCTAGATTAAATTTCGCAAAATATTGATATTTTTTCAAACATTTCCCTCTTATAAATAAATAATAAAACTTGTTTGCAAAACGGTGGATTTTTTTTTATGAGGTGTCAAAAAAATTCTTGATTTTTTCACATCTAATGAAGAAAACATCAGATTTTAATCTTTGATTACAATGGAAATGTTGATTTTCACATAAGACACTGGGTTGAATCCTGATTTTTAAACATTTCTTCTTTGAAAAAACAAAACGATAATTAAATTGAGAAAAAAATTAGAATTCCGAATCTAATCGAGTTTTAATCGAGTGGATGTATTAATAAATAGATTAAATCCATTAATAAATTATTAAGTTGAAAAAAATCATTTAAATTCAATAATTTGTAATTTATGACTTCAACGCATGCAATTGACATCCGTTTTTGACACGATAGAAGAATAATCTTAAACAGCGATCACTAAATTAAATCACAATAAATTCAATAGCGAAGTGGTAAAAGGAGATAAGTCAATGTTGACTATTGACCAGTTTTCAATCAATATCTCGGAATCTAAGGGAGATAGCGAAATTTTCATAACTACATTTGTTGTAGCACTCAATCTGCTCCACAAAAAAGGTCATAACAAAAAATTCACTATCTCCCTTAGATTCCGAGATATTGATTGAAAACGGGTCAATAGTCAAAATTGACTTATCTCCTTTTACCACTTCGCTACTGAATTAATGTCATGAAAATCTTCAATTCCAGACTTCGTGCCACCGACACGAAAATTAAATTCGTAACGAACACAACGAAAGAATCAAAGTCATGTCTCTACGATCGATTGAATAAACTCGGCTTCGATATTAAAAAAGATGAAATATTCAGTTCGCTGGCGGCGGCGAGAGAGGTCATACAGGCTCGCAAACTCAATCCATTCCTCATGATTGACGATGCGGCCATGGAGGATTTTCAGGATCTGCAGAATCCCGATGGGGAATTCACTGCAGTCGTTGTCGGACTGGCGCCGAAGAAATTTCATTACGACGAGTTGAATCAAGCGTTTAGGTAACAATTCGCTGATAAATAAAAATTAGAATTTCATGAATAGGCGGAAAAATCATGGAATTTCGAATTTAACCGAAAATTCAATGGAATTCCAGGATTTTCAGCAGTAAAGCACGTGAATGCCTTTTAAATTATTTCATCCATTTTCCTCCAAAAGTAAAATTTGTAATTTTTTAACTGTGAAATTACTTGAATGAATGTAATAATTTATTAATGTGCTAATAAATACATTGAATGCATTAATAAATTACTGCATTCATGAAGTAATTAACTCAGTAATCAACTTAATAATTTATTAACGTATTAATAAATCCATTACGTTAAAAAAAATCATTTAAATTCAATAATTTGCAATTTATAACTTTAACTCATGCTAATTTTTTCACATTTTTTAAATGTTTTCTGAAGTTTCAATATCGAAATTCGTATTCAGACCTACGAATTTTGCCCCTCGATTTTAATTGATTTTTTAATTTTTCGAATTGTGCGCAGTTAATCAGACATTAGCATCTTCAATTCAACTGTATAAATGTGCTTTAGGCTGTTGTTGCAAGGGGCGTCCCTAATCGCCATCCACGAGGGGCGGTATTACAAACGCGGGGATGGCCTCGCCCTGGGACCTGGTGCCTTCATCAGAGGCTTGGAGTACTCAGCGAATGTCAAAGCAGAAGTAATTGGAAAACCGACGAAAGGGTTTTTCGAAGCTGCACTGGGGGGAATTCCCCCTCAAGAAGCTGTCATGATAGGGGATGTGAGTCCTTGCGATATTTATTCAATCAAATATTGAATTATTAACGATCCCTAATCATTCTTAAACAGAACTGGATGAAATTTCATTTTAAACATTTGAATTCTCAATCATTTCGATTGTTACTTGAAATATTTATAAATATTTAAACTCAGAAAAATATTATTTCAAATTATTGGGTAGTGTTAATGTCTTGAAATATATTCATTTCATTATTTGGATAGAGTTTTGAATTTTTCCACGAATTATTAGACATTTTCAACAACAAACGTCATTTTTTACTAATGAAACAAAACCGTGAATTAATTTATTTTTAGTTCCACAGTGAGAAAAGAGTGAATAATATTCAGAGAAATGATTCGAACTACTAATGCCATTTAATTTTCATTGAATAGTGCCCAGCTCTGGTCTCAAATAATTCTCCAAGCCGAATAAAAATGAAATATTCATATTTACAAGGATGTAAGGGACGATGTTGCTGGAGCCCAAGCAGCAGGTATCCGAGGCCTCCTAGTGCAGACTGGGAAATATCGTCCTGGGGATGAGGCATCAATATCTCCACCACCAGCCAAAGTTATTCCATCCTTCGTCGAAGCTGTCGACGAACTCCTCAAAGAATTCTCAGAGGCGTAATACATCGAGTTCATTTTATCCCATCCCCCCATTTATTGGAAACAATTGAATACGATTTATGGAAATCATGGAGATCCAGTTCATATTAAAAATGTAGTTATCAGGGATTATTCCCTAATTTTATCTCATTTTTATGAATTGAAAAGGGTGAAACGATGTCAAAGAATTAAAACTGCGATTATTCTTCATGAAATTCTCTAGGAAAAATTCAAATTACTGCAAAAATGTCGAGATTAATGTCTGGTGATTGATCATCCCATGATTAAATATTAATGTCTCTGAAGCTCTGTGAATAAAAAATATTTCCTTAATTAAAATAGTTTTTCTACTTCAAAAAATATCAGTGAATTTATATTTATTATGTTCAGTCGATCAAATATGAGGTTCTTCTAGAATTGCCTCATAATAATGCATTCAAAAACGTGTCATGCTGTCAAATACCTAGAACTAAAATTACTCTCCATGAAATTATAAAACTATTCCGTTAATTAAAGTATTTTCATACCCCAAAAAATCGAATAAACGCAGTAAAATACCAGTGAATTCATATTTATTATGTTCAGTCGATCAAGTATGAGGTTTTTCTGATTACAATATTCTCATCTCAGTAAAATTTGGCTGCCAGACAATGTTCAATAACTAGTGAATTGACATATTCCTCATTTCCCCATCAGATTTATTCTCACACTGCCTTAGGCCAGAGGCAATTATATTCACAAAAAGTCGTTTGCCCAGCCTAGGAGATAAGCATGTGAAATCAATCAAGTTGTGCTCTGTGACAAACCAGTAAATGAAAATTCACATCTTCGACGATTGAGAGTTCGCGGTGCGACAGTATGCGGAAATAAAGAACATTGAACTTAATGGTATCATTGATTCTCAATTTCGGAAGACAAATAGTGAAGGAGTAGGAAAATTGCGCTCGTATTGCGCAATTTTTTTATCATTCTCAAGGAACTACTCTAAAAAATTTTCAATTTTTTTTCTCTTTCCTTCATGATTTATGAGACTTATGAGTTCTGGGCGGAATTGAGGATTCCCATATGTACTTTATGCCGAAAAAATGAGAAAATTGGGGCGAGAAAATTCTCCGTGCCTTCACAAAATGGCAAAATGAAGAAAAATTGACTGCAATATTTTGTCAGAAATAATTGAATGAATTTTTTTTATTGAACGAAATTATAAACCGAAAAATATTACAATTCACAACGCAGAAATTATAATAAATTTCTCATAATTAACCGAAATAAAAAATCCATGTTTAATAATTTCCATCAATTTTTACTGCAAAACCCCTAAAATATTGAAAATACAAAGTAATTTCCCACTTTCCCCACAACACATGAAAAACCTCAACCCACCAGTCCACATTTCGACCTGTGGAGTCTTGAAATCAATTCACCGAAGGTTTTTCCCTTGGAAAATGCTTGCGTTCCCACGACTCAGAGCTGCTCCCCCCCAAAAAATCAGCGAAAACGATGGATATTTACAGTACGATACGACGAATATAAACTCATAATGGAGATGACAGAACGTCTAGCAATCACCAATCACCCACCAATCCCAGATGATAAATGGTTTAAAAATCCAGCACACGTTCCAATTATGCATTCTCAATGTCTACATTGATATAACTGAGCCGGCGATAATTACCTACTTGATTAATTCCCTTATGCCTCACGATAATCGGTAGAAATATTGGAGAAATAGTATTTCGAAGCATGTTCCCTAGTGTTCCTTGTCACTCAAAATCGTCTCAACAACAACACTCAATGACTTTTTACTAATGATAACTAGTAATGTATCGCTAGACTCATCGGAACATATTCCAGTTAAAAATAAATCATTATCTGGATACCCATGGCTTCGTTCGTGGAAAATAACTCTCGCTATTTTCTGAACACTTCTCATCCATTCTTTTGTAGTTTTGTTTTTTTTGGCAACATTGAGGCGTACTGCGGACGAAACTCATCGTCCAATTACTCACGTTCATTCTCTCTTGTTTTTCACGTGTTTTTTTTTTATCACTTGGCCACGGCACAGAACCAGGCACACTTCAGAGGACCGTTGCTTGTTACTCGCAATCCTAACTATTTGACTGGACGATAGTAGAGTGTGAGATCTGCTGAGTTTTTCCAAATGAAATGCTTGACCTAGAAGGGAAATTGATTTTTCAGTGCAAAAAACATTGATACGTTGGAAAAAAATTGAAAGTCCATGGACAGTCGACTAGTAATTTTTAGGAGAGAGACATTAGCGCTGGAAATTCAATGAAATTGTAAAGTTTTGAGCGGCTAACACGGGAATTACGCGCTGAATTTTCAGTTGATTGAACATTCAAAAATATATTTACTGGAATTTTCCTGAAGGAATTTAAGGTTTCAATGAAAACTCCAATATTTTTTCTCTTCCAAATGTGATGGCTTGTTAAAAAGAACAACCACAAATGCCATTTTATCTAGCTCCATTGCCAAATTTATTTCCCTAATTCAATGAAATAATAAAATACCAAATGAAATACGTTTCCACATATGAAATATCATCATCATTAAACTCTCTCATGACTCTAAAAAATTCTAAATTATTCGCATGGAATGCAAAACATTCAAAACATTGTCACCAACTATTCAAATATTATTTCATAAATTGGTTTTAATTAAATTCAGTGAACTATTCAATATTATTTTACTCATCTCTGAAAACAATTAATTGAGTAAAATAATAACTCAATTAATTGCATTAATTGTATTGAATTAATTGAGTAAAATAATAACTCAATTAATTGTATTAATTGTATTGAATTAATTGAGTAAAATAATAACTCAATTAATTGTATTAATTGTATTGAATTAATTGAGTAAAATAATAACTCAATTAATTGTATTAATTGTATTGAATTAATTGAGTAAAATAATAACTCAATTAATTGTATTCAGACATGAGTAAAATAATAATGATAAAAATAAGACAATAATTCATCATGCGTAGCCAAAATAATGACATTATTTCATTCTCACCGTTCGTAAATCCATCGAAGGATCCAACACTTGATCATTACAGAGAAGTTCCACCTTTTCCTCAGCAAGTGACGAGTTATCAGCATTGGAATCAGTATTAGCACGATCTCCAGCTGGTGAGCCCCCAGATACCGTGTTCCCACCACCAGCGACTGAACCAGAGTCACTCCCTGCCCCCAGAACCTTGTCATAAACATGCTCAACGACTTTGCGAACTTGTATGAAGTCGTTAGCAATCAATCGATCCCTGCGAGAATTAAATTGAAAAAATTAGTCATTCGATAATGTCGGATGAACGAATTAACGAGCGAATTTATACGTACTTTTTACAATTTTTGAAGCCGGAAGACGGATGGGGCGAGAGATGAAACGGAATTTTTATGAATTTAGGCAGATTTTTATCTACAACGATATCAACTACCCACGATGGCACTGTTTCGTTTAGAAGTGCTCTTTCTGTTTCACCAGCAGCGTCTCGCACTAGTAATCTGTAGAGAGTTTTTCCACCCACTTCACTGGAATCGAAATGAAGAAATTGAGAAAATCGATTGAATTAATTTGAGATGATAAACTCGAAAAAAATAATCCAATCAATATTGCATGGTGATAAATAAACAATTTGATACATTTTTCTCCACGATTTTCATGTAACAGTTCATTAATTGATTTTTTAAAAGAAACTGAATAAACAAAAATTGAGTAGCCTGGACTTTTTCCACGATTTTTGCATTTTATATTCATTAAAATACTGAAATTAAATAGTTAACACTATTTTATTTTCAAATAGTTAACACTATTTTATTTTCAAATAGTTAAGACTATTTTATTTTCTATTTTGATGGAATGAAATAGCGAAAATCTACATCATTCGATTTTCAAAAGCAAAAATAAACAAATAGAATTCATTAATTTGCGACAATGGCCTCGAAAAAAAAAATTAAAAAAATATCACAATATCCCAATTTTCCCCTCAATTTTCATGATAAATTTCGTGAATTTCTACCTGAATATAACAGGCGTATGTCCAGGAACCGAGAAATAAGGATTTCCATCCCTAGAATGTGCCTGTCCAGTTCCATCATTGCTATTCGCCTCGTTCTCCTCATCCGCATGAATGGGTTTCCACCAGTGTTCGAGGAGTGCTTGGAGCAGTAAATTTCCATAATTGACTTTTTGATCGACACTGTCATTATCAGTAATCCCGGTATCACGTGCTGACACCCATGCCGAGAAGCAATCGTTCTCGTCTTGTGCCAGGTGAATGGTCAGCATTCCTGTTTTCAGGTCGACGTTGAACCAGCTGGGGATGTAGACCATTTTGTTCCGTTTCTTCACTTCCTGATCGAAATCCACTCGTCCAAGATCCTCGACTTTGCAGGCCTTGAGGACGTCGTAGAGGGCGACATTCTCCTCGGTGTCTTTAGTGAGGACGTACCTCCTGTCGTTGAGAATTACGTGATGTCTTATTGCTGGACCACCGAGTATTCTCTGCATGGGCTCCGTACTTCGGGGGACCATTCCACCTGCACCACCACCTGCTGTGTCTACGCAGTAGTCACCGCACTGCCAGTCTTTCTGATTTATCAACTGGAAATTTACCATCAATGAACGATAATGAAAATTTTTTTTCTCAATTTGTAATTAATCGGGAATGTCTTCCGAACGAATGGTACGAATTGGATGACTCACACCTCATTTTAAAGTTTAGAAATAAACCTTGAAAATGAAAAAGAAAACTGGAAATTTCACTCTGCCGTTCTTGACTTATTAGAGATGAAACAAAATTAGTTCACCTCATTCTCCCTTAATTCTCACTTCGAAGAGAGTCTGATTAACCGGGAATATCTCCTAGGCAAATGGTACGATTTTGATGAATCAGAGCTCATTTTAAAGTTTGAAAAAATGCCTTCAAAATGAAAAAAAAATTGTGTAGTTTCACTCTACCAATTTCGAGTTATTAACTATTAAAACCGGTCAAAATTATTATTGGAGTTTGAGAGAATATTGAACCAACATATTTTAAACCTTCAATAACGTAAGGGTCAAACCCTTGTAATATTACAGAAATTTGATATTGATGGGGGTCCCTGGGTTCCCCCTTACGATGGGAGAGTTTTTCTCCCAATAAGCAATAAATGAATTGAATTGAATTAAATATTCAGTCACTATAACTCAATTTTCCTCCCCAATTCTCCAGAAAAATATTAATAAATTATCAATAACAGTTATGCCTACCCAATTGTTAATAGTGGATTCACTGGTGGCAACCCAGATGCTCGACTGATCGGGCGTCATAACCATCTTCAGAACGGGCGCCCTCTCCTCGCAGATGACTGTGTACCTATCGGGATTCCTCAGCTCCGTCATTATGACTTTCTTGTCCCGTCCCCCTGATATGACGTGACTGAATGTGTCCGTGGCCAGCAGGGCCCAGACCCCCTCAGTGTGCACTCTGAATGTCTGTATGCACATTTGCTGAGCCAATGACCACAGCTTTATTGTACCATCGGAGCTCGCCGACAGACACTGACTCCCATCGCGATTCAACACGAGGGCTTTTATGTTGTCAGCGTGACCACGAAGTTTCATAAGTTTGTTGCACGTTCTGGGGTCCCACACCCTCAGCACCTTCTCTGTGCTACCACTGACGATTACTGTGCCTGGGGGGTTCATGGCTAAACTGTATATGGAATCTTTGTTTCCGGCTAGTGAAGAAGCTGAAAGCAGGGATCGACAAGAATTGTTAGTGAGCAATTTTAGAAGTAGTTTACCATAGATTAATCAAAGTTCCTTAGTTTTTAATTAACTGCTTTTGTAAATGTAAAGGCCCGAGAGGGTATACATGTGGCAAATAAATATAGTTTTTAATTAAATTTGGAAATAATTTTTAATTCGCAATTGTAATTCAGCAGCGAAGCGGTAAACCGGGTCAAGTCGATTTCGACTTTTGGCCTGTTTTTGACGAATATCTCGGAATCTAAGAGAGATAACAAAATTTTTCTTATGACCTTTTTTATAACTCTTAATTGGCTCTATAAAAAAGGTTATGACAAAAAATTTTCTATCTCTTTTAGATTCCGAGATATTCGCCAAACACTGACCAATAGGCAAAATCGATTTAACTCGGTTTACCGCTTCGCTACTGAATTTAACAATTTATTATAAAGATCTGAATGTGATTCTTCAATTAAGGACGGGTGTACTATCTTTCGAATGTTATCTGCATTTTTTTCATCTTTCGTAATCCAAAATTGTCAATTGAGTGGTACATCGTGTAGAAATTCCCGAAAATTCTGACAGAATGATTAAAAAAATTGAAAAAATTCTGAACTTTTTCAAAGAGCGTTTTTAATTGAGATTCAGAATGAGTTGAAAAAAGTGGGAATCTCCTCATGGGGAGTGACAGCTAGGTATTTCAATTTTCAAAACAGTGGTATGTAGTCATCTGCCATTTTTATGTGATAAAAGTGTGATTTAAAAATTCTCCAAAATATTACAACTTTTTTCAAAGAGCCTTTTCCGTAATAAATGTCTCTGTGCAGTGTGGAAACGATTTACGAAATCAGTCTTCCCCCTGCATGATACTGGGTGACAGGCCGTCATTTGTCACCGTAAATCAGATACATTTTTCAACTTCTTGTTATTCAACTTATTATGAATATAAATTAAAAATGCTCTTTGAAAAAATTGAGAATTTTTTCTATTTTTTTTTATTATTCATTCATAATTTTGCAACACTTCTGCATGATGCGGGACTTGATTGACAATTTCAGATGACGAAAGATGAACAAAAACATCGAGATAACGTTCGAAAGATAGTACACCCGGGCCTTAAGCTAAATTAAAAAACAAATGAAATAAAGTTATCAATGACTCTCTAATTAAAAAATTTCAGATAGATTCCCTCCTCCTCCACCACCTCCCCCACTTACTCGTGACAGTATTATTGCTGGCAGTCAATGCAGTCAGGGTATTGACATCCCAGAGAAAGATCTGCCTGTCCAATCCAGCGCTGGCCACTTGCTCCCTGTCTTTGGCATAGGCAAGAGCCTTGACGTAATCCTTATGAGTTCTCAGCGTAGACATGCAGAACCCCTTGTGGGCATTCCACACCTTGACGGTCGTGTCCGAGCTCGCCGATATGAGGTTCTTCCCCCCACAGCACAGAACAATATCATTCACCCAGTCCGTGTGGTGCTCCATCGACTGAATGAACGGCTCCTTCATATTCTTACAATTCCATATTCTAATAATACTATCTCTACCGGCTGAGTACAGCCTGTGCAGGACTGCGTCGTACTGGAGGGAATTCACCCCTGCACGGTGTCTTCTCTCGACTTCATCACGAATTACCATCGATACCTGCGGAATAAATTTCATCAATAGCATCAACAATCATCAATAAACACAACTGGTAGAATTTCGGTCTGTCTTAAATCGGCAATATCTCCGGAGCAGACGATGTGATTTGGGTGAATCGAAGCTCATTTTTAAGTTTATGAAGACTCCTTGAAAATGAAAGAAAAATCTGGAAATTTCACTCAGCCGTTCTTTAGTTATTGATGATGAAAGGAGGTTGGATTTATCTCATTTTGTCTTTTTTGTTGATCAGGGGAGATTAGGAGAAATCAGTGATATCTTCTAATCGAACGATACGATTCAGTCGAGCTACATTTCATTTTGAACTCTGAAAAACTATCGTCAAAATGAAAAAAAAATCCCAAAATTTCACTCTACCGATCTCCAATTATAAAACATTAAAATGAGTCATAAATTCCATCAACACAATCAACAATCATCAGTAAGCTAAATTGACAAATTTTTCTTCTACCTTCGATGGTGAATATCTCCAGAGCAAACGATGCGATTTGGATGAATCAAATCTCATTTTTAAATGTATGAAAATACCTTGAAAATGTAAAAAAAATCCTGACATTTCACTCTGCCGATCTCGAGTTACAGCCGATTAAAAACGTTGAATATTCCCCCTCATCCTCAATCAACAATCTCACCTGAACTTTCTTCCGGGCGTTCTGCCCACCTGTCTTGTGTGCAGCCATCGAAATCCACTAGATTGAATCCCACTACAAAAGCCACGACATATGGCTTGACACAACATGCACTCCACAACTCCTATCCCCTCGGAGCAACAACGAACAAACGCACGACGACCATCGCCAATTAACAAATGACCCTCGACTCGGATATGAAAGTTCCAGTGCCGGTTTGATAGTTCCTCTTTCCCTCACAGTCACTCACACACACGCCAACACTTGATAAACTATTCAAAAACAGCAGGACGTGGTCCTCGGCGCCCGAAATCCGTGATTTTTAACTCATTCCCGAGGTATGTAAAAAAATCGTGTTGACAATTTCACCGGAATGCCAAAAAAATGGCGATATTATGGTGCGAATTATCATGAGGGTGCCCCCTCCATTCCGAATGTTACCATGAATATCCGATGATTTACAAGGAGTTAATGTTCAACTCGAGGCTCTTCTCATTCGATCGACGAAAAATCATTCGATTGATATTTGCGCATTTGCCGGGTTTTAATTGTTTTCTCGAGGTTGGACATAGAGTGACCTGGAGTGACCACTCTGAGAAGTTTGTTCTGTACTGATACTGAACAATGGACTGAGTGGTGAGGGAAGGGGAATTTTGAGATGGTGGAAGGGGATTCTTGAAACATCTGTCATGGGTTGAAAGAGGATAGACTGAAGTAGAGGACGACCCCAAGCTGAAATGAGTATCACCCCATGGGAGCGATGGCGCCACGGTCGATCGTCGGTAAAAAGGAGTTGGGTAGGCGGGGCCTCGGCAGTCCCACTCAAAGAAGATAGACTAAAGTAGAGGCTCATCTATCTATCTATATTTCTGAGGAAATTTGGGTTCCCTATAGGCAGATGAACGGCTCGGAATTGCTTTTTTCCACTTCTTACACGCTATAGAAGATAAATCGAATGGAATTGGTTTTAAGGCTCTATCTCTCATAGTTTCCGAGATAATCGCGGAAAACGAAATCGCCAAAAAAAATTAATTTAATTTATCTTGTAGAGGGTGTAGGGAGTGGAAAAACGCAATTCTGAGCCGTCCATTCTGCCTATAGGAAATACAAATTAGTTTTAAGGCTCTATCTCTCATAGTTTCCGAGATAATCGCGGAAAACGAAATCGCCAAAAAAAATTAATTTAATTTATCTTGTATAGGGTGTAGGAAGTGGAAAAACGCAATTCTGAGCCGTCCATCTGCCTATAGGGAACCCAAATTTCCTCAGGAATCGAATGAAATTGGTTTTAAGGCTCTATCTCTCATAGTTTCCGAGATAATCGCGAAAAACGAAATCGCCAAAAAAAATTAATTTAATTTATCTTATATAGGGTGTAGGGAGTGGAAAAACGCAATTCTGAGCCGTCCATCTGCCTATGGGGAACCCAAATTTCCTCAGGAATCGAATGGAATAGGTTTTAAGGCTCTATCTCTCATAGTTTCCGAGATAATCGCGAAAAACGAAATCGCCAAAAAAAATCTTGTCATCATTATTTGTTATGATGACAATCTTGTCATTATTATTTGTTATCACTTGATTTTTCATTACATGAAATCTTCAGGATTCAAAATAAGGGTTGAGCAGTCGTACAACGGTCGAACCAGAAAAACAAGTGAATCGATGAAACAGTTTCAAGTGTCAAAGGGTCGTGAGGGCCAGGTGGGCAAGATGAGCCGAGTTTCCGTGAGGGTCAAAAGCTACTAAACATCGAGCCATCTCAAGATGAAACGATAAAACTATGCAGAGCAATAAGACGTATCCAACGCTCTCAAGATTCAATAACTCTTAGAGTCAGTCATTCTTGAGGGTCAAAGGAGGGTGAAAGGTCGAGGAGATCGTGTCGAAGGTCGTACGATCGTAGTTGGAACAGAGAGCTGGCGCCATCTGTTAATCGTCCAACACTCCCATTTCCTTATTTCATGCCGAGTAATATCGCGACACCATCATGGCGATGATTACAATTTACGTGTGATTTAGGGAGAAATTGGGAAAATACGGTATCATTTGACGTTGAGTTGAATATTTTTTAGAAGAACTTTAGTTTTCGTAAAGTGGGGAACACATCGGCTTGTTTATATCAGTAAAAAATAAAGGGTTGAGGTTGTGTAAACAGATTCTGTGTGTACGAGGCAGGACGTCGCCCGATAAAAGGTGAATATTTCTTCAGTTATGAATGTTGATGTATTGCTTTGGGTTTTGGCCAACCTCGAGATTATTCATGCATGAAATTTTGGATTTTATTAAATATTCTATTATTTTTTTACCTCCGACTTTAAGCACTCATTTAATTTTGAGAATGTCATGGCATCGAATGCATGAACAATTTTGTCTTTTAACATTTCTCCAATAAACAAAAATTTCTCTTTTGAAATGCAAATGAAAAAAAAAGTATTCGTTAATTTTTATTCGCTAAAAAAAGTAATTCGCTAATATTTACTTCTTTATAATACGTGTAGTATCATTTTGATCGATGTTTTTTGAGTGGAAAGCCTTAAAAAATCACTCCCGCCTTGATTTTTTGTTTATCTCGTCCAAGAACGAAAAAAACAGGTTGTGGATTTTTTTGTTTAATTTGAGTCCAACAAAATCAGTTAATAATGGGACTCATAACGTTATAAAGAAAAAGATGTGCATTAAATTGACATAATTGTCAGTTTTATTGTCCTGTTTTTGTCGTGCTGTTTCTTCTTATTCATGTAACAAATAAATTCCAGTTATTTCCATTCACTCATTCATTTTTACCATTTTCAACCTGATTTCTATCAATATTTTCCAACTCTAAAGCCTCAAAAACTCTGCCTCGCTCGACTTTTGTATTATTTTGTTCATTTGAATGCATCAGCATCAGAAAATAATGAAACCCATAACATCATTATGAAAAAATTGTGAATAATACTGAAATAATTGTTGACTTTCTTATTATTCTTTTTTTCTCCTTCTTTTTCTTCTGTTTCACTTGACAAATGAAAAGTTCGGTATGACAGAATTATTTATTGTATCGATTATTCACCCAGAAATCATTGGAATCATCACTATGAGCTCAGGGAGGCCGATAAAATGTGTTGTGGTTGGAGATGGAACTGTAGGAAAAACTTGTATGTTGATATCGTACACGACAGACAGTTTTCCCGGTGAATATGTGCCTACAGTGTGAGTATCAATGATTGTCTGTCTTATTAATTATTCATGGATAGAATAAAGAGTAGAGAATTCTTAGAATTGCAGTCAAGCCAGCAGGCTCTGCATTTCCAGAGAATTAATGATCAATAGAAGATTTTTCATGGAATACAAAATGTTTTCATGTTATTCTATGACTCAATCAGTCAGTTTTGAATGCGTGCATTGAGAGTCGCGAAGCAAATCTTCTTGAATCGAGAATATTACATTTCATTCTAGGATTTTTGTATTGCTTTTTTGAAGGCACATGCAACTGAATCATTTTTTCATTGAGGATTCCCATATTCTGAAAACTAGAATTTTTTCGAGTGATTTCCTTTATCAATTTGTATTCCTTTTCCCCTCTCAATTCTTCTGGAGAGAGGTAAACTAGGGGTGGCTAATAATAGTTCAGTGACATCTTTTGGATGTTCCACAGGAAGTAATTCATTGCGATGTGATTTTTGGTCGTTTCTCCTTGTGCCCTCGATTTTTCAGAAACGAATGAAATGGTAATTGCAGGTTCGACAATTACTCGGCGCCGATGGTGGTGGACGGGATACCGGTGAGCCTGGGCCTGTGGGACACTGCTGGTCAGGAGGATTACGACAGGTTGCGCCCGTTATCCTACCCTCAGACAGACGTGTTCCTCATCTGCTTCTCGGTGACGAGTCCCTCGTCCTTCGAGAATGTCACGAGCAAGTGGTATCCGGAGATAAAACATCACTGCCCTGATGCACCTATGATACTCGTTGGTACGAAAATTGACTTGCGTGATGATCGGGAGACGCTCACTGCCTTGGCAGAGCAGGGCTTGAGTGCGATAAAACGTGAGCAGGGACAAAAATTAGCAAATAAAGTGAGTAGTGTTGTTTAATTGAGCGGAAGTTGGGTGAATGGACAAAACAACATTATTCATTCATTCATTCTAATTTTAAATGCTCAGAGATAATTTAAAAAGCTCCAAATGTCAATATTAACCAATATTACGTCAATATCATTAAAAAGTTCATCAAGTCAATATATGTAATTAATTACGTATATGTATTCAAGAAGTTACTATTTATGTGAGGTATTCCATGTCAAATGAGTCAACGAGTGACCCTCACCGTCTTGAAAATTGATCTCGATTTTTTCTACTATTGAAGGCCTAGAAAAACTATCAATTTTTTTCAAATTTTTTTAACAGCCCATTTCGGAGAAATGATTTTTTCATTGTTTTTTCGTTTTTTTTTTCAATAACTCCAGTTCTATTCATCCAATTTTGATTTGTGACACGTCAAAATTTTCGATTTTCTACCACCTATAAGAATATTTTGGGTAATTTTTTTTTCATCCAGGTGCTCATAATACCGAATTGAAAAAAAAGTTGAAAAACTTGAATTTTCAAAATTATGTCACGTTTTATTTTTCTCGTATTTTTTTAGTAAATCTTGTGATCAAAACAAGTGTTTTGAGCCGTCATGCATGTTGGGTTTCCTTCTAGATCGATTTTATTTTCAATTTTTTCTTCCCGAAATTAGACGAATTTGGTCAAATACCACAAAATGGCGTTGATTGACTAATTATAAACAGTATGAAGTGAATTTAAGTGCACTTTTATATATTACATTTGTTTCTGATACATAATCGAAGTCGTTCACTCATTTGGCATTGAATACCTCATATACACAAATCATGTACATAAATGATAACTTGTTGATTACTGATATGAATGCTGAACTGAAATGAATGAACATGAATAATGAAAGAAGAATATTTGTAGATTTCAAGTGAGACTTTCCCTGAAATTTCAGCAAATTTTGTACGAAATGAAGGTAGAAAGTGTTTCATTTAACAAAAATTGTTTTCATTCCATAAAAAAAAATTCTAAACATGAATAACGAAATAATTCAATGAATTCCATCACTTTGGGAATCTACATTCTGCAGATAATTTAATTTGAATCATTGCCACGAATTTCTCGAGCCAAAAAATTCCCTAAACATCATTCACTCACAACTAACGTTTCTCCCAGATACGTGCCGTCAAGTACATGGAATGTTCAGCCCTGACGCAGCGCGGCCTGAAGCAGGTGTTCGACGAAGCTGTTAGAGCTGTCCTCCGACCCGAGCCCCAGAAGCGTCGTCAAAGAAGATGCGTCATGTTGTAAAGGTATATATAGCCCCAACCCATCATCTTAGAGTATATTTTAAAAGAATATTATTGAAGACGACGGGCAGAGGAAATATCAACTATTCAATCGTTTAATGAGTTCAGTCAATTCCCTTACGAAGTTGAAATTTTATTGTTGGAAGCTGTCCCATAATAGTGCCCTGGCGAGGTATAGCCACCAATCGACATTTTTCCATTACCAATTTTTTAAAATACTTCGTGAATAATTTTTCACTCGCCCCTCATCAGAAGCTTGAGGATCAATTGACAATTACGTGATATCAAATATCGAATCTCGTCTCAATCTCCATTTCTGGCATCTTCCGTACAATGAATTTCGTGCACAATTGTATTTGCACAATTTTTTATTCTATAAGTCTCTTGTTTCGTGTTGTACATCAGTTATTTCATTTGTACACCCAGAGAAATTAGCCCTTTGAACCAAATAAAACTCTTATTAGACTTTTTAAAAATGGATTTCAACAATTTTTTCGTTTAAAATTAATAATTTTATTTATTTATTCTAAAAAAAATGTTTTGATTACATGAAATGAATTATTAAACGATTCGTGTGATCTAAATGAAGAATTCGAACAATGATTTCATTTTTAAATAATGAAGTCTCCATTCGAATAAAAAAAAATAGTTATTTGATTCGAAAAATTATTTCTCTGGGTGCAGCAGAATGTGCCATAGGGAAAATAAATAATCTGATAACGAGAAAAAAGCAATTATTTCGAGACAATACCGACATTAAAATCAACTCAAGGATGTCATGAATATTTCATGAATTGTTTAAACGAAAATTAGATACTTCCCTAAATTTCTCCAAAATTATAATCTCCAGAATTGTTAAATGAGATGTCCATGGCATCCTCAACCCTCATTCACCAAAAAGACTGCACTCATGGGAGCATAACTGCCACATGACAATGATAATTAGCAAAGACTAACGAAAATCATCGAATTGTCTCAATTTTAAACTTGTCATTGGACTTTAGCACCTAGAATCTGACCTAAAAATACCTCTCGACGTTTGAGATTTTTCTCTATTACAATTATTTTTGTATTTCAATGGACGATTATCAATGACTCGAGTGTAACGAAGCCATTTTTTCAAATTAAATGATAAACGATAAATAAAAAAACAGTTGTTTCTAGACCTAATGCGAACAATGGGAACATTGAGCAAATATTCAAGGCAATTAACAGAACAACGAGGTTTTTATAGTTTATAAGTGATGAAAAATGAACTTAAATATTTGCCCCAACGTGAGTTTGTAAAATTTTTTTTCTCTCCAATACTCTGGATCCATTGGGTCTCGATTAAGCCATAAGCTCAGGCATTACAGACGAACTATGATATTATATCGGTGAGATACGATGGGCTGAGCTAGTTTCAGGTACCTCAGCAGTGAATTAATATTCCTGTACTTGAAAACATGCTATTTTTTTATATTTAAAGAATGCTTAGAGATGCAAATTGAAGTGGAAGTGAATTCCTCTCTTTTGCCTTATTGATATCTAAAGAAAGATGACATATTCCATACAATTCCCGTGCGAAATTTAAGGAAAATTGAATAACAAGAGGTGAAAGAATTGAAATATTGAACTATCGAGGCATACCAATGCTATTTGAATGTATATAATGTAGCATAGAGAAATAATTGTATTCTGAATTTCAATGATTTGACTAAATTGTCTGCTTTTTTCATATCATTTATCATTTAAGGATATCCAAGTACTTTGGCTTTTTTTTCTCTAGTGAAATACTTTTCTTTCATTTGAGCACCATTTCACCCCAAGTTTCTGGACATTTTGCAGTGATTTATTATTTTAATTTTGCAGGTATGAATTTCAATCGCGATGTTGAACCGTTAGAAATCATTTTAAAAATCTGAAAAAAATTAGAAAGTTTTGGAGGAAGATTGCTGAATTAATTGAAAAATAGGAATTTTTTAAAATTGCGAGGCTTTTCTATAAAAAATTTATAAACAATGAATTTTCCATCGTAAAAATCATTTTTTCAGAATCTTAACAAATTAATATTTATATTCATTGCAAAAATAGTTTATGTATAAACAACGAATGTTCAAAAGAATAATTTTGTGCATGGAGATTGAATAATACTGAATACTCATGATTTTTTTTCAAATTTTTCTTACGCAATTTAATTGATAAATTTAATTATTGAAAATAAAATTATTGAAAAGTGGAAATTTTGGAAAATTACGAGCGTTTTCTATAAATAATTCATAAATACTTGGATATCCTTAATGATACGCGCGAATCAAAAGTTTACGATAATTGAAATTTCGTTTATTGACATTTTATGAAGCATCACAACCTTTTTTTCCTTTTAATTTCAAAGCAAAAGGTTAAAGTTAGGAGAGGAACGAAATTTGGTGCTCTTCCCAGACCTCCGACAAAACTATATTCAGACGTATATGAAAGAGATCTATCAACTCCCTCTCCTGATACCAAACTGAGAATTAAAATTTTTATAGACCAGACTGAACACAAGGAAACAAGCAGAAAGCATTATCTTGTAATTAGAGTAAAAGAAGTATGAATTTATCGTATCAAATCATTAACATGGTACATTTCTTTAGTGTAAGTAGTGGATTTATTTAATAATGTTGAAGAGTCGATGGAAGCAGTGTCATAAGTTAGATAACTGCTCATTAGGGGGTAGCAGCTACTGAATTTACAAATTATTTGTGCTTTATATTTCATTTTTTTAATTAAATTTCCTCTAATCGAATTCATCACCCAGCGAAATGACACGATTGAATTGAATAAATTTTGTATTTTGTATTGATTTATTTATTTCATTAAATATACGAAATGAATGATTAAGTAATTCGAAAAAAAGATTATTGATAAATTTGTTTTCTAAAACATTCTGAATAATTTCTTCATTCAGAAAAACACTTTATTCGGTTCATTTGTAAATGTTTTCTTTAAACATTTAAAACCGCGAATAAATTATTACTTTGATGCCAATGAAAGGGAAGACAAAAGTAGAATTTATTTAATTCAAATAAATCATTTCTCCGGGTGCATAAAAAAATTAATAAATCGATGATCATTTTGTAAAAGTCATTGGAGTAACCACGACCAATTGAAATGCTTACGCAGAATTGCTAATAAACCAAAGTTACGTACTCATGACAATTAATTGTAATTTTTTATAATACGTAAAAACTAGAAATGATACCATAGATAAATGAGTGAATCATGAATTATTCTAGTCAGAATGAAGCTGCTTCTGAATTTTATTTTATCATAATTTAGTGGTTTGAGTTTGTCGATGAACAGCTGCCATTCTAACTGTGGTCGCTCCGATGATTATAAGAATGATAGAAATATTAAAATGAATATGTCATTGTGAAACTGGATATACTTGAGTTTTTAGCACAAAGGGATTAATTTTAGTTGAAAATGTGAGCTATTGTTTTTGAAGGAACGAAACGTCTTCAATTCGTCGGGTTGTTCATGTGAGGCAGCAAATGGGATGACTAGTGAAGTTTCATGAGAAATTTTCGCAATCATTCGCCATAGTTATTGTGATTCCGTTTTGAGAAATTCCAACTTAGTATTATGAACGTGCGAGTCCTCTCATACTGCCTAATTTCGTATGTTATTGAATTTTACAATGAACAAGGGAACGAAATTTCAATATTCACGTTTAGTTTTAGTTTTATTCTCACTGAGAGCCAAAACGAATTACAAATGCTAATGAATAATCTCACAAAACGAATGCATGTTCTGTAAACTTACTAGGATGCATTTATTTTTTATTTATATGTATTTTCAAGATGAAACTTTTTAAAATATACATTGTAAACGGTAATCGTTACTGACTATTCATTGAACCTTTCCAATTATGTGCCAACATTATCCTATATTCCCTAAACTTCAATTGAAATCCATGTTTTTCTTTTCATTCTAATTAGAATGGGTTTTTTATTTTATTTTAATATTCTGATTAGTGGAAAGTGAAATGAAATCCTTTAATTTTCTGCAATGATACCTGATAATTAAAACAAAAAATTGGTTCCAATAATTAATTAAAGTATTGAAACATTTTCATTAACAATTCCGTTAAATACTGAATTAATCTTGAAGTATTCAAATGATATTCTCCCAAATCTTATTGATTGAAAAATTGTTGTTTACATAATATTAGGGAACATCCATTGAATGAAAGAAAAAAAATATTTCAAACACTGAAATACTAATATTTCCATGAACTATTTAGTGAAAACCTTGTTTTATTTTTCATATTAAGTGACTTAATATGAAAGTTTATTTATTTATTTCCATTCGAATGAAAAACAAGTACGGAATTGATTTTATGAAATGGTATCGAGCAATCAATTTGCCCCAAAGGCCTGAAAAACATCAGATACTCCGAAGAGTTCATTTGTAGTGTTTGCAGTGCCAAAAAACGCAGAAAAAAAATAAAACAACGTTGAATTCAGTATCGAAGCGGTAAACCGGGTCAAGTCGATTTTGACTATTGGCCAGTTTTTGACGAATATCTCGGAATCTAAAAGGGATAGAAAAATTTTTGTCATGATCTTTTTATAGCCCTTAATTGGTTCTACAAAAAAGGTCATGAGAAAAATTTTGCTATCTCTCTTAGGTTCTGAGATATTCATCAAAAACTGAGCAAAAGTCAAAATCGACTTGACCCGGTTTACCGCTTCACTACTGTATTTCCAACTAATTAGTGAAGGACGTCTAAAAAACTAATGTTCTAGGGCAAAAGATATTCTTTCCTACTTAGTTAGGGATGAAACCATGAAACCATAACAATTCCTGTACGACGAATTTTCAAAAGTTGCGTCTCATCACATTTTCATTTCTTTTCATCACGCTGTGACGAAAAGTGAACTTTTCGGCACGCTCCGCGTGCCTAAAAGTCCAATTTCCGCGACATTGTGATGAAAAATATTGTTCGTAACTCGTGAAAAAATGTTTTTTTAGCTCGTGGGATTATATCACTCGTCTTCGGCTCGTGATATAAACCTCCCACTCGCCAAAAAACACTTTTTTGCACTCGTTACGAAATATACTATTTTTTCTTCCTCTCTTTTTCTCACGTCTAACTCTCATCAACATTGAGCCAGATACACAACTCCTGATATAGATAATTTGGCTGAATTAAGGCCCTCGGGCAATGGCCATTGTAAGAACGCATGTTTCTTGCAATAAATAACGTTGAAAGTTAAAGTTAAATTAACCCTGAAATATCTATTGATCAATGAGCAATATACTGCAACGAAAATCCCGAAATAAAATGCTGAACGGCTCGTAAACCTGCCCTCGCCATGAATTCTCAAATGTCCCATCTAACATCAAATGACAATTGATGATTCATCACCCCGTCCACCTCGAATATCTTGCGGGATTACAATACCCGACAAATGGTAGCCGGAAATGAAAAAAGTAAGTCAGTATAGCTCAGCACGAGGGCAATAATGACGTGCTTCCTCCAATTGATGCAAGAATCCCGTGTCTCCAAAGATGGCGGACGTGAGTCAATGAGACTTGCTGTTAACGCGCATTACGATAACAGCCGCAAGTGAATATGGCAGACACCCAACCGAAGACGCATTGACTCGCTCTTCGGCATTTCCGGTCACTGGCCCATTCCAAAGTGATTCAGAATGAGAGCTCAAATTTTTCGTCGCGGAATCATTAAAAATAAATGAGAACCTGTGTTGGGTTTTCTTGCTCGTCAACCTCACGAGAGATACAAAACATCCTTTCATAACTTATATTCCTCGGTAAAATGTTGTGGTGGGGGCTCTCCTGCAGCCCGATTGGTCGGTTTTAACGTGACTCAGAGGTCACGCTCAGCAATTTTTCATTTCTAGAGAAATAATCTAATGGTTTAAGACATAATTGATTAAGAAGTAATTGACAACTTTCAATTCTCTATTCCACCACGTTTTGATGAAAAGGAAATCGTGAAATTGCATTGAAAATTCTCGTAATCTTCCAGCAATTTTTCATTTCTAGAGAAATAATCTAATGATTTAAGACGTAATTGATTAACAAGTAATTGACAACTTTCAATTCTCTATTCCACCACGTTTTGACGAAAAGGAAATCGCGAAATTGCATTGAAAATTCTCGTAATCTTCGAGCAAAGACGAAAATAACGTAAATATGATCACAAACGGATGCGATAAAATGTCTTATTTTTATCTCATCGCTCTTGCCAGGAGAGAGAAAATTCTTGTCGCGTCTTTGTTCTTGACGTAGGAAATAAAGATGCGGTAATAATGTTTCTTAAGCATGACATTTCGTCGCAAGAAATGGGATGAAAATCCATGGGACTTGATTTGTAGAGCATTAAATTTCCTAAAGCAAGTGAAGGTCAACATTTTCGACCAGAAAAAACCTCTAATTCTACGGGACCACATCACACAGCCACAAAAGAAAAAAGAATCGGTGAAGTTATAAATGTAATTTCAAGTCGCTGACAATCATTGAAATCTTGTCGACCATATGCCGCGTTTGACGCAAGCGTGACTCCTCAGCTATCGACTGTCCTAGAAGTCCCCTTACGAAACGCCTAAGAATCTTATCACTCCGATAAAAAAAACGCGCAATTGCCCGCGCCTTACAAATAACTGACACGTACAACTTCATTTCTGACGGAATTCGTCACAAGAAGCTCGCGTCTGGCCATCGCCCGAGGGTCTTCAGCCTTATTATCGTAATTTATTCCAGCTCCTGGTCATACCCCCGAGCCGAGTGTCTTCCTGGATTCTAGGACAGTTTTTCCCTGGACAAAATCTCCCGGACAAAATCTCCCGGAAAAAATCTCCCCGAAAAAGAACTTCCCCTGATAAAATCTCCCTGAAAAAGGAATTTGCGATTAGGAAACCGGATCCGGCCAAAATAAATATAAAGATAATGCTCAATTAAAGGTTTTTTATTACTGAATCGCACAATAGAACACATGAAATCATCGAGTCTTTAGCCTCAATGAAATTACAAAAGAATTAAATTCATACGGATTGTTATTTGCGGAAAATTGACCCCTCAGAAGACTCGTTGAAATTTTTTCGAGGAAATTTCGCAAAAAGCCCGGGGAAATTTTTTTCAGGGAGATTTTGTCCAGGAAATTTTGTCCGGGGAAAAACTGTCAGACTACCGTCTTCCTGATGCCCCAGAACCAGAAGATGACGCATACATGACGCCCTCCCGAAGGAGCATATCCCCCAGGCGCCCCCGGGGCGCCGAAAAAACAATGGGGGTGGGACGCGGTGAGGATTGCGAACCGCTGGAGACTGGGGTCGCAGAGAGGGGGATGTACGCGAAGAAAGTAGGGGAAGTTTCCGACAGAGGTAATTGTCTAGAGCTCACTCTCGACGAAGGTGAGGGCGGAACGAGGGGAACGCCGTGGCGACGGCGGAGGTAGAGGTCAGATTCACAGAATTGGAATTGCAGATGGCGCCTGGCTGCGCGGCGGTTTCAGTCTAGTTGCCATCGAGCTAAACATCGTGGGGGCCAGTGCGAGTCATCCGGTTAGAGGGAGGGGCTGTTGCGTATTTCGTGCTTCTTGTAACTTCCATTTTGCGGCCGTGGCTCACCCCATTCTTCGGGAGTTATCGCTGGGGGATAAGTAGTCGTGAATTTGCTCATTTCACGCGGGCCATTTCACGCGGGTTCTTCGAGGCTTTTCAACGGTCAGTCGTCGGGAGGAAGTTGTCGATAATATTTGTACACTTGGAAAAGGCCATCAGCAACGTATTCCGGATAAGCGTGTGGTTCGACGTTACTCCGCTCGGCTTCGCTGTTTCGCTGTCTCTTTTTTTCCTTCGAGAACTCGTTTTTTCCGTTTTCCGGGGAGAGAGAGGGTGAGAGAGAGAGAGAAGCGACGATTGCGGGTAGAGGGATATCGTTTCGCTAGTCGAACGGTCAATGGGACTCGACAACACGCGGGTCGAATAGACTCTTTTGCGCGGAGTCGTGGTATTGAGTGGTTATCGCGTTCAAGAGAATTCCAGTCGCCATTACTGGGTGAGGGATTGCGAGTTGATCACGGGAGTGGAACTTTGTTTAAGGTTTGTTACTGATGTTATTATCTTTGAATGATTTATTTTGGTGTCGCTGGGGGGCTGGGGGTGCACGGGGGGCTTCATTGATTTAACGACTGGGAGGGGGTCTTGAGCACCGGCGGAAGTCGGGGGGTTGGGGTTTTGTTGGGAATTTGCAGACTCGTGCATGGGGACTTGGGGTATGCGGTGTGGGGTTATGAGAGTGGAGGTTGATGCATCCGCTTGAAGGGTTTTTTAGGGGTGGAGGGCTGCTGGGGGAAATGGTTTGAGGCTTTTTTCAAGTAATTGATTGAGTGCTAGCGCGGCTGAGGAGTTCTTTGGGAGACATTGTTATGATAAGACTTGGGAAACATTTTGTGGAGAAATGGGACGATGCGGTGGGAATTCTAGCGGAGTTCTATTGGCAATAGAAATTGCAGGGGGAAATGGTCTATAGAAATAAATCAGTAGAATTTGGTTTTTTTATATAATTTATTTTCATGGGATATCTCTCGTCGAAATTCCTCGGCTGTAATTTTTTAGGCGATTTTGATTTTTTTTTTGAAAATGTTTCAAGGTTTTTTGGCAACTGTTTGATTCGTTTGGAGCTATTGTTATGAGTAGGGGAGAGTGGGGTAAAATGGACACTTTTGACTTTGTTTAAATGTTAATGACAGGTTGAATTGTTGGTGAAATGTTTTTTTTTTAATTTTTCAATAAAAAGAACAATTCTTTCCCTTTGTGTTGAGCCTAAACTGGTTTCAATTGATAAATCTGTCTCTGAGTTATAAATATTTCTTTAAATATCAAAAGTGTCCATTTTACCCCACCCTCCTCTATTTGGAGACTTGCGAAAAAATTTTATGGATAAGTGTGGCGAATGCGATGGCAAATTCTAGTGGATTTTTATTGGCAATAAAAATTTTTGCTGGGAAATGTTCGATAGAAAAAAATCAATAGAATTAGGTTTTTCTATGTAATTTATTTTCATGGGATATTTCCTGTGGAAACTCTTCGGCTGTAATTTTCTAGCCGATTTTGATTTTTTTTTTGAAAATGTTTCAAGGTTTTTTGGCAACTGTTTGGTTCGTTAGGAGCTATTGTTATGAGTATTTTAAGACTTACGAAAAAAATTATGGAGAAACCTCAATGCAGTGGGAAATTTTATTGGATTTCTATTGAATTTTCCAAGAATGTTCGGACACAGAAATGTTCACTGGTAAATATTTTATAGAAAAAAATCAATACAATTAGGTTTTTTCACATAATTTAGTTTCGGCGGATATTTCCTGCAGAAATTCCTCGGCTCCAGTTTCTCAATTTAAAAAAAATCAATTTTTCAATGAAAAGAGAAGAAAAAACAGTTGAAATAACTCGGAAAATACATGTCGAGGAATTTCCGTAGAAACCATCTCAACAGAAAGAGTAGAAAAAGACGAAATTCCACTGATCGTTTCTATAAAACACTTCCTATAAAAATAAAAATAAAAACCCCAGTAAATCATTGGAATTTTTATTAGAATCCGCAACAAAACACTGACATTTCCAATAGAAGTTCAGTAGAAATCCAATAAAATTATCTCTCGAATTCGCAGGAACCAGTGCACTAAGAACTGCATTCAAACTACTATTCCACTCATTAATTCCCAAATAACACAATTTTAAATCCTCCAGCAGGGAATTCCCCACCACTCACTTATTATCCCAAAAAAATAATCAGGGAAGAGTGGCTCAAAATGGACCCATTCAGTTGAATCTAAGTTCACTGCAATTATATTCTCCACAGAACCCAAAACGATCCCATTAAAAAAAAATTCAAACTACCCATTTTACCCCACTCCCCCCATTCGCGATAATCTCTTGGATTTTGCCCCGACCTCCGCATTATTCCCCACTTAGCCATCACAGAATGATTGTTAAAACGGTTGGACCACCCTGCGCGAGGAAAAAAGGAAAACTAAAAATGAATTAATTAATTGAAAGGAGATATGTCTGATCACTTGCGGGCACTTCGTCCCCGGCGTTCGCCCACGAAAGAGCGACGAGTGGAGGCCGCAGCGGCTCCAGCCTCCGACAAAGACTCGGATGGAAGAGACGACAGTGACAGTGAGCCCAGGCTCGTCATCAAGGAGGAGCCAGAGGCCCCAGGGGTCGGCAAACGGGGAATATCCGAGCGCATGTACGAGTGCAACTCGTGCAGACCCAGACACGAGTTCACCAGTCTCGCCGATTACCTCCAGCACCTGAAGGACCAGCACCAGCAGAGGAGCAAAGTCCATGGCTGTCCATTCTGCAATTACACGTATCAAAATCCGAAGAAACTGCAGCGTCACATTTTAACTGCCCACAAAGACGTCCAGGAGAAATCAGGGGAAATTGTCAGGCGTAACAGGTGCACAATGTGCAATTTTGTCGCTTACACACCGACTGACATGGAGAATCACCAGAGGCTTCATCACCTCAGGAGGCGATTTTTTCGCTGCACAAAGTGCTCTTATGTGACACATGTCCGTGCACGATACACCAAACACGTGAAATACCATTCCATGCCAATGATAAAATGCGATGATTGTGATTTTCGAACTCCTTATAAGGTACACAATAGGGGGTTTTTCATGTATTCTCCAGTTCGGTGGTTTTATTAATCGTTTTCATTTGTGTGCATTGTTTCCAGTGGAATCTCGATCGTCACACGAGGAATCATGGGGGCGGTGGGGCTTTTCAGTGTGAGGCTTGCAATTTTACCGCTGAAATTCGACAGAGTCTGACTGTCCACGAGGCCAATCATCATGAACCGCCGGTTGGGCAGATGGCGAGTAAGATGAGCAGTCCTTTTGAACGAAAACCGAGGAATACACCGAAACGTTATAATCAGGTGAGCTCGAGGGAAATATTTATCATTACCTAGATTTTATGGATTAGCATGGGCGGGAAATTTTGTTGAGAAACAGAAAATTGATGAGAACTGTAGATTTTTCTCAAATTATTTTTCTTTTCTCTTCACCACGACACAGAAAGTTCAGTGGAAATCCAATTGAATTTTCCATTGCATTCGCTGCGTTTCTCCATAAATTTTTTTCGTAAGCCTCAAAATACTCAAAATTTCCGGAAATATCAGCCGAAAATTCTAACCCTGTTAAAAATGAAATTATGTACAGAATGCAGATTCTCAAAGTCATACAACCCACAACTTATTGAATTATCTTATTATTGACATTTGGAAATTTGTATGACCAAATGAAACAATTTCTACCTCCACTTCTTCCTTCATTTCGTACGAAATTTCAGGTTCCAGCTGTGAATTCAAGTGAATTCAAATAATTTTAGGTAGAAACGAGTCGAAAATTTCACAAATTGAGCTGTCATTCCCCCAATTCTCCAACTTTACTGAATAATTTACCTGAAATCAGCAGTTGCCGCTGATTTCCTCATCAAATCATGACGAGACTTCCTGAACTTTCCGTAAAAGTCTCATCACTTTTTGAAGTCTCTCCCCTCACCTCATTCTTCCAACATTCCAGGTTGGTGCTAGTGATTTCCGTGACGCTCAAGCGACCGAAAAGCCCGCGAACCCAGCGACTGTTGAAAACTCCCCAGATACAGAGGACCCCAAGACCTCCACTATCTCCGACGGTGCGGACTGTATCGCCTTAAAATGCGAGGAGAAGGGCTGCCAGTTCATCACTGCCTGGGACTCTGAGATGCAACGACACTTGGCCGAGTCACACGCTGGTCAGTCCCCGAGCAAGAGGAAACCACTGCCGATGTTGATCCCCCTGAGTCCAGGGAGCAAACAAGCTAATCCCGGTGCCTCCAGTCCTCCCACAACTGTGCTCAACGTTCCCCGGGTCAGAGTGAGGCCAGAGCTTGCGAAAATTGCCAGAGACACTGAAATCGCCAAATTGTACGGTAGTTCTGAGGTGAGTTTCAGATTTTTAGGGAGATCTTGGGCTTAGAAAGGTGAAATGGACACTTTGGACTCATTCAGAGTTCCATTTCCATCGAAAAAATCATAAATTGAGTCGATATTAATTACGAAGTGTTAAATAATCTTCTGCTGTTGAAATATTATTATTTATTTATGCATGAGGGAATCGAAAATTGCAATTGAATGAAAAAAAATATTTTGAGTGATGAAAAAAGAATTGTTCTAAGACATTTTCGTCCGAAATACTATTTTTTTCACACTAGAATTGTTTAAATTAATAGTCATGAATATTTCAAACGAAAAATTACTTCAAAATGAGTTTTAAAAAATCAATTTTAACTATTGAAATAGTATTTTAATCGTTGACTTTGGAATAGTATTTTTGGTTATTAAAATATCATTGTTTACTTGTTTATTAAAAAATTTTAAAAATCAGTTGAATAAGAAAAATATGTCAAGTGGTAAAAAAGGGAGTATTTAAAAACACTTTCATCTGAAATACCATTTAATTCACTTTGAGATAGATAATAGTCATGAAAATTGAAATTAATTCCCGAATAAAATTCCAAATTCAAAATAATAATTTGGAAAAATCATGAGATATTAATGTAAACAGCATCTTCTGTTATGGAAAAATATTATTGTTTACTTTTTCATAAAAAAAACTATTTCAACTGATAAAAAAAGTAATATTTAAAGGCATTTCCATTAAAAATACTATTTAATTCACATTGAGATGGCAAATACTCTCAAAAACTGGAATTAATTCCCGAGTAAAATTCCAAATTTAAAATGACAATCTCGAAAAATCATGAATAATTAATGTAAACAGGTAAATGGGGAGAAAGAAGCAAGTCCCCCAAAGAACTTTGAAAAACGAAATGCCTCATTCTTCGACAAACTAAAGGAACGTCTGCTCTCAAGCTCAGGAATCACCCAGTCAGCAATGAATAATCAAGTGGCAGCTGTAAGTAATGTCAACGATCTAAAGTGTTGGTGCACGTTTGAAGCGAGTAGTCAGGATGAAATGTCAAGTCATAGAAAAACCCATCACACTGCGCTCAGTGTGTCTCTTGGCGTAACGCGATGTCCAAAGTGCCGAAGACGTTGCAAAACTTCGAGCGATCTCCAGATGCACATTAAAATATGCCCAGCGTACAATAATAATAGTGACAGTAATGATAAAAATAGTAGCCAGGAGAACACTGTCAACAGTGATACCTATGCAACAACTTCTTCCTCCAATGATTTTGAGTTACCATTGCAAGTGGACTGGGATGCAAATTACAACGGACTTAATTCCTCTGGATCCTCGGTACGGGGTTCTCTTTTATTTTTTATTATTTACGTTTATTTTGAGTTCTGAGTTGGCTGAGTGCTTTCATTCAAGACTGACTTTTTCCTTTTCTTTTTTTTTTGAGGGAAAAATGAACTGATTTTTATCGACAATAATTCGGACTTCAATGATTTATTTTTGAGATAATTTGATTATTTCCTTTTGATGAATAAATTATCGATTTTGGCAAATATTTTGTCCATAAATATTTTACGAGTTTTTGAAATTAGTTTTAGAGTTTGAATTTATCGGATTGTTTTGGGTCATGATTTTCCATTTTTTTCTTCTTTATAGAACGTAAAATTGACTAATTTTTGTATTCTTTTGGATCCTCGGTACCAGGTTCTTTTTAATTCTTTATTATTTATGTTTGTTTTGAGTTTGGAGTTTTCTGTGTGCTTTCATTTATGACAGGATTTTTTTTTCTTTTCTTTTATTGAAGGTAAAAGGAACGGTTTTTATTGACACTAATCCAGAATTCAATCATTTTAATTTTTGATCATTTGATTGTTGCAAGATAATTGTTTATATCAAACATAAATAATAAAATAAATATTTTACATTCTTAATATTTGAAATTAAATTCACACTTCGAATTTTACTATTTTTTAATAGTAAAATCATTCCAAAATGTGTTAAAAATTTTTGAGGAAAAAAAAGTCTTTCCATTCGTGTTGCAAATGTTTGCACAATCAAGAGGTCCATTTTACCCCACTCCCCCCTAGAATATCCTTTATCCACTCTGCCTGGTATTGATCTTGTGTGGGTTTTTATTCTTAGAATAGTTTAAAGTAAAACTAAACAATTCGTTGAAATAAATATTTATGAATAGGTGGAAGGAGTCTCTATGGGTCCGTTAGGACGACGAGTGTTCAAGTGCCCCCACTGTCCCTTCTGGGCGTCGACAGCCAGTAGATTCCACGTCCACATCGTCGGCCACCTGAACCGCAAACCATTCGAATGCTCCTTGTGTGCGTACAGATCGAATTGGCGATGGGACATAACGAAACATATTAAATTGAAGGCTGCCAGGGATGCAGCGCATGTGAATGCCAGAGTGCTCATGACTGACGAAACTGGTCGTCGAAATTATTCCAAGTATAACAAATATCTTACTCAGGTGGGTGCATGACAATATCATTATTAATTAAATAATAAATGAATGGGGATAATTGATTTTGTCTTCATTAAACGACAGAAAATCATTCATCTTTGATAATTTTTTTAATGAATACAAGAAATCGAATAATAATGTTAAAAAATCAAAAAGAAAACTTTGTGATTTTTTAACATTATTTCTCGATTTTTATCTCGAAAACCAAGAACAGTCATCGTTTTTATGAGACTGTGTTGAATGTCCCTTTCAAAAGTTTTACCAAAATTCCCTTATTGATGTTAACCTCCATTAACAGTTTTTTAAAATTTGAATCTTGAAAATCCAAATAAACGGAGCAATTTTCGTCTGTCTGCTGCTCAAAAATGTAGAATTCCTTCAAATTTACAGCGGAATTTCAATTATTTCATTTATTACTTCAGATGTACACCTCTCGGGTTTTACATTTCGTTCCGTTCCCATTACTCTTATTAAAAATTCAGTCACAAAGTGGTAAAACGGTTTAAGTCGATTTAGCCCTCAGCTGAATTTTCGAGAAATATCTGTGAATTTAAGGGGAATAACTAAGTTTTCGTAATAACCTTTGTAATTTTCAATCCGCTCTACAAAAAAGGTCATGATAAAAACTTTCCCATCTTCCGGAGATTTCTGTATTACATTCTATTATAAAATCTATTATAAATTCTATCATAAAATCTATTATAGATTCTCTTATAAAATCCATCATAGATTCTCTCATAAAATCTATATTAGACCCCTAGCTTCCGCGACATTCACCGAAAACTAAATAAACATCGCTACGAAACCATTCGAAAGCATCACCACAAACCCCTGAAAAAAAAATTCCGCTGTGAACCTCCCCTCAAACACTAAAATCAATTAATCTCCCCCTACAAGCTCTCACGGCACCCTTGCAATTCCAGCTGCAGCAGCAGTCCTACGACGCCGTCTCCCCGGAAGAAACCCAAGGAGGGCTCCGCAGTGGCGAGCCCCCGCGAAAGCTCTTCATAACAGCCGACCAATCCCCAAAGCGTCGCCCCAAGCCGATGACCTCCCTCTCGATAGACGTGGCCTCGGGCCACATAGTCAAGCCCTTCCAGCTCCCCCGCCTCCACGGTCAATCCCTCCTAAAAGTGACCCCCCCAGCGCCCCCCGCAAAAGACCCGCTCTCCCTCTCCCCAAAATCCCCGGAGGAGACAAAACGCACCCTCTGGAAATGCAAGCGCTGCAACTACCGGGACTCGAGCAAAGAGGTTCTCCTCCAACACGTGAAGAGTCACTACGAGAAGCTGGAGAAGCCCCAGGAGAAGGCGAGCCTGACGTGCACAGACTGCCCCTTCGTGGCCCCTGACGCGGAGTCCCTTGCCCTCCACAAGGTGCACCACCGCCCCAACCTGGAGGCAATCTTCAAGTGCTACCTCTGCCCCTACTACGTCAGCACGAAGGCCGAGCTCCTGGAGCACGCGCGTCTGCACGGGGAGGAGCTGTCGGTGGTGCACGACGCAAAGCCAAAGCCAAAGCCAAAGGAGGACATTCCCCCAGACCAAGCGCCCCCAATGCTCCTGGACACCCGAGCCCTCCCGGACACGCCCCTGGTCTGGGTCTCGCGTCCAGACGGAATCTTCGCAAAAATGCTCAAGTGTCGGCACTGCCCGCACGTCTCGTCGAGACGAGCCGAAGTCCGAGACCACGAGACCATGCACACGAACGACGACAATGGCCCAGGGGTTCTGATAGCCTGTCCAGACTGCAGCTTCACCTGCACCCAGAAGGACGTCATGGAGTCCCATGCGGCGATGCACCTGGGCTCGCTGGGGACAGTGCACTGTCTCGTGGCTGACAACAGGAGTGACGCCCAGCAGCTGGACGACCTCAAGAGCATCCTGGGACTGGCGAAGACCCCGACTCTGGGGGCCGAGCCAGACCTGAGGGACTCCAGACTAGTCCACAACTGTGGCAAGTGCCCTGCCAGGTTTCTCTGCGAGAAGGAGCTGAGGATCCACCTGCGGTATCACGCCACCTCCCTGGCGTACACCTGCGAGTGGTGCTCCTACGCTGCTAGACAGCCAGCGCACCTGCTGGCCCACCAGAAGGCCCACTCCAGTGACTACCAGGAGCGAACGAGGTACCTGGCGTCGCTGTACGGCAACTCCCAGAGGTTCCCTCCACCTATGACAGCCTGCGTGGAGGTGAACAGCCAGGGGAACCGACAGAAGGGAGTCGACAGGAGGCAGTTCGCCTGGATTGTCGTGGAGGTCACCAATGCCAGCCAGCAGGCGCAGGAGTTCAGTGCTGACAAGAATCAGGTGTTCACGTGCACGAAGTGCCCTGCGAGGTACTTCAAACTCGACGCTCTGGAGTACCACATGACCCTGCATGGCTCCAACAACAGGTTCAAGTGTGAGGAGTGCGATTACTCGTCCAAGACAGCGCAGAACCTCATGAAGCATCAGGTGGTGCACAGGAGGCAGCCGGAGGCTGTCGAGCAAGTACAGGAGAACAGTCAGGGGCGGCTGGAGGCGGCTCAGGGCGAGGAGGACTCCTCGGGAAATCCGAATTACCTGTATCCGGGGTGTGTCAGGCAGGGGAAGTTCAAGGAGAAGAAGTACAAGTGCCATAAATGCCCCTCGGCGTTTGAGAAACGAGAGCAGTTCAGGATCCACTTGTCACTTCATGGCTCCAAGCAGAAGTACAGGTGTGATAGGTGTGATTATGCTGTTAAGTATTATGCTAATTTTATTCAGCACATGAGGAAGCATCAGGCTAATGCCGAGGCACAGGCCTCGAGGAGGCGGATGGAGGTGGAGGAGGAGGAGGACTGCGCGGATGAGGAGCAGAGTGTTGTGAAGTCGAGGAGAAAGTCGACAGGGTTTGGGGGGAGGGAGGTGGTGGGAGCGCCTGGGGAGGAGGTCTCCTCGGTGTCCAATCAGGACAAGCAGACGATGATGATGATGCAGAGGAAGGCTTCGGCGACGCTGAGTGAAGCTAATGACAGCGCTCTGAGGTGTCTGGAGTGTCCGTTCTCTGCTGATGATCAAACTGCTATTGACGCGCATAAGAGGCGACATGGGATCGAGAGACTCACGCCACCCTGCCCTCATTGTAATTACGTTCCCAGGAAGGATGAGAATCTTAATGAACATATTAGACTGCATTTCACGAGGATGTACAAGCCCGAAGGGTATCTGATTATTGAGATGCTGACTCTTAGGATGGAGAAGCAGGACGAGGGGGGTGACAAGGGGAAGGAGAATGAATTACTGTTTTCGGAGTCGTCGGAGGGGACGTTTCTGCCCATCACTGACATCGTCAGTACGTTGCCCGTTGGGAAGAGGGGGAGGGGCCTCCAGGAGAAGGTGGTCATTGATGCCAGCACTGGGGAGGCCACACATCGTATCAAAGATTAATGTTTTTTTTACAGATTTTTCACAGCTTGTAATTTTGTAAGAGAGGATATCCTAGGTTTTAAGCTTTTTGTTTTACTTTTGAGGTATATGAACGTGATCAAGACACTTGTATCTTTATGGTACGTACAAATATATGTAGGCATGTGAAATGAATAAACAATGCGTTTGTTTCCACTTTTTGTTATTTTTTCTATCCTCGTGATTGTGTTATGTAGTCTCATGCAGAGGAAGGCTTTTAATTCCCTAATAGGGAACTTGCATGAATTTTATTTATTTTTTATTTTGAAAGGTCACCATCTCAATATTATATTTTTAGAATCTAAACTCTTAAGGAGTTGCACAATAATTACTAGCTAATTATTGGGAATTGCATACTTTTAAATCGCTCATGACGTCACGTCACTGGTTAACTGCTAGCTATTGGGTACGAACAATCTATCAAACGAGTGATGAGCAGATATTGAACTTCGTGCAAGTTCACTTTTCTAAGCCCCCAGAAGACCCCGTAAAAATGAAAAAAAATCCTGCATTTCCATCAAAAATTTCAGTTACATTCCTAATTACATTCAGAATATGAGGAAGCGTCAGGCTAATGCCGAGGCATGTGAAATGAATAAACAATGGTTTTGTTTCCAATCTTTATTTTTATTTTTCATTCTTTATCCATCATTCTGCTTTATCCAGGCTCAATTACAACGACAAAAAATAGAAATAGAAAGATTAATCCTAGTACAAGGTAATTACGTATTCCCTAGATTTACCAAATGTCTTCTTACCAGACCTCTCAGTGTGTCATCAGTAGAAAAAGGAAAATAATTCTCCGCACTCATCATTATTTACATGAGCTGTCACTCCGTATTAATTATCAACATCAAAAAAAACTATTTATGGATTTCTTCAGCTAATTTATTTCCACCCTCCGACGGCTATCGACTCAATTTCAAAAAGACCTATGAAAAGGGTAGAAGAATCTCGAATAGTTGAACAACTATTGAAGAGAAAAAAGAAGATTAAAAACCAGACCTTCAATCATCAAATCTCCCCAAATCAAAGTTCATTTCAAGCCCCCAAAAGCCCCTTGAAAATAAAAAAAAATTCTCAATCTCCCCCCAATCCCGAGATATCAATACCAAAAAAGCTCCATTCCAGGCTCATAACTCCCCTCAACGTCCAACAATCTCATTAACGCACATATTAATCAACGGTCTCAGCTCCTGCTGTGCATAATCCTCAGGAAGTGGTAGCTGCGAGACCAAGTGCACGAGCACCCTCGTGGTGGATCGGTCCTCACTGGGCTGCATCATCAGCAAGCTCCTAGCAAGATGCAGAGTCCTCTTGGCAATTTCCGCCTGGCAGAGTGTCAACTTGGCAGTGGTGCAAGGGAACAAATTAATCTTAGTGCACAACGAGCTGAGCTGCGGCTGCAGCATCTCCAGTCGATACCCAATTTTCCCCAGATCCTTGGTCTTGACGAACCTCTCGATCTCCCCAGCGATCTCCATGTACTCCCAGAGCAGCTGTCCCTGATGGCTCCAGCCATTCACAAGATTATGGCACTCTGATGGCACCAGAGGCCCCAGCAGATCCCTGAGGTACTCGTAATTCTCATTGATGACAGCATCAGCAGCCAGATGCTGGATGATGACGCCATGCGCCTGGTTCCACTGCTGTGCCTGGAGGAGGTACCAAGCAGCCTCCCCATACCTCTTGACAGCAAGAGCCTTGACAGCCTTCGCCTCGTTAATCCACATCGAAGGTATCTCCAGCTGCTCCACGAGGAAGGTCTCCCTCCCGACATACTCCGGATCCTCATCAATCTGAACATGACGAGACAGCAGATCCAAGACAGCCTTCCTCCTGATCCCCACGTCATTCAGATGCAGATCCACGAAAATCGCCCAGTGCCAGAGGTCGTGGGCCTCCAGCTGAGCAGCCAAATTCGTATGAGTCATCGTGGCCACATGCTCAGACAAGTGTGAATACCCGAGCCCAACGATGACCTGCTGCAGCAGCCAGCTGAGTCTGTAGTCCAGAGGATCAGACGTGTGGGTGAGAGGGTTCAGCAGCTCCTCGAGGGAATGATTGCCAGTGCAGTAGAGCTTGATCAAATGATAGCATAGATCGTAGGTTTTCTTCCCCACGACTTCAGCCTCAAACTCCTCCTCCTTGTACTCTGGCAGGGGTGGGGCTGCGTAGATCTGGTCGTTGGATTCAGGATTGAAGGAGCCCTCGAACAGCTCGAGAACGTCCGTTATCGAGGCGGTGGGAGGGGAGAGGTACCAGAGGTGAATGGCCAGAGCTCTCTTCCAGTCCAATTTCTCGCAGACGTTCACTGTTTCCTCGTTGAACATGATGAGGTGGGTGCCAGCAGCCAGCATGTAGATCTTCAGACGCTCCAGGGAGATGTTGGGGAGCATGTCGGTGGCCTGCCACAGGGCAATCGTCTGTTTTATGAGCTCCTTCACTGAGGATGTGCCCCCCAGCTGGGAGATCAGTAGTGCCAGGCAATAGTCCCCTGATTTTCTGGCCCATTCACAAGCCTCCTCCAGCTTGTTGGCAGAGAGCAGAGACAGGATGGACTCACTCTCGTCTGTTGTCCCCGATATGTCGTTCTGGACAGAGCTCTCAACGACCTCCTTCAGCCAGTCCCCAAAGGCCTCTCGTCTGATCATGACGTACTCGTGGCTCTCGGGGCTGGTGTCAGGGTCGATGTGGGGCAGCTTCCCCCAGAGGGCGACACACAGCTGCCAGACGTCGTTGGCATAAGCTGCCTGATGATCGTTGGACTGGTCTGCCAGCTCCTGAGCGAGATTGCAGTGGTGGTGGAGAGCGTTGAGCCCCGAATCCCCAGTGCCAGCACGAATCCAGGGACAATTGCCCTCCCGTCCAATCACCGAGTTGTTCAACTGGATCAGGAGGTGTCCCTCGATGCTCTCTCTGAAGATCTTCAGGTAATCAGCGTCTGCCCTCGTGCCTCCGAGGATCTGCAGTCGTTGGATGATGCTCGTCGACGTGTGATCGTCCATCAATCTCCCAGACATGTAGCTCTCGATCTGGCTGAATTTATTCTGCAGTGGCACCACCGACGCCTGCTCCTGGCTGCTCAGGGATATCAGGGTCAGCCCGGGCCCCCAGCAGGGCTTGAACTTCCTCCCCATCTGGATTCCAATGTCACTGATGCATTGGAACCGCAATTTACTACCAATCGTCTCCCTCAGGGGGATGACTTCACACCTGAATTTCAGGACAATCGTCGTGGGGTTGACGATTGGCGGGGGAAAGTACTTAGCCAAGGCCTTGGGCTTCTCAGCTTTAGCCTCAAGTGCCTCACTTTTACTCCTGGCGAGGCCTTTCGAGTCTCTCACCTTGTCGGCGTAGAAAGACTCGTTGGACATTGATTTGGAGAACGACAAAGTCTCCTGATTAACGAAATTCGTAATCTTGGAGGGGAACCCATCGCTCTGCTCCTTCTTCCCATCGTCGAAGGGCTTGAACATCCCCTCGGGGGCATAATTGTAAGAGTCATCCCCATTGTTCTCAGCATCGAAGAAGCTGGCCTTCATCAGCTGGAGTTTGTGGCTGTCAGTGCCTGCTAATCTAGCGTAAATCGATGTCGGGCTCAAGGCAGACTGTTTCTCCCTGTTCTCCCCCTGAACAGGCGACTTCACCTCGTCCTCCTGCCCCTCGCCAATCTCCATGACATCCCCAAACCCCTGAATCTTCTGATTCCCCACCAGCTGCACCTGCTTCAGAACACTCGGCGATTTCTTCTTCATCCCAGCTCTGTCGGCCAGGAGAAAAGTCCGTCCCTCAGCCTTCAACTTCTTCATATTCTGATTCACCAGCACATCGTCCTCATCGTCAGAGTCACTCAGCCCGTACTTCGAGAAATGATCGACCTTGAATACCCACGAGCCAGTCTCAGGGCGATACTCCAAGAACCTCATGTCGTGTTTCTCAGATACTCTCCTCAATTTGGCTTCGTAATTCATGGCGATGAGCCTGTGGGGATCGGTAATGGGTTCATGGAGGTTCTTGTCCTGCGGCCAGACCCTGTCGAGGGTCACCTGAGCCCTCCTGTTGAGGCCCTGCCCCACTGGTGGCTTCTTATCGTCATCAGGATATATGACAACCTCCTTGTGACGAAAGTAAACAATCTCATCGAAGTTCAGGCCGTAAATATCGAAGGAGTCAGGGAAGTAGACGTTCCCGTACCCCTTCCTCCCAATGGTGAAGTTGGGGACAATGCAGCTGTCGCCACGAACAAACTCCTCCAGCTGATCCACTGGGGGAATAGTGTAGTATCCAGCACGACGAAGAGTCACTTTAGCTGGATTGGACTCAGCGCAGTCCCCCTGATACGACAAAGCACTCTCGTCGAGGTCTCGAGTGGAGTCGTTGAAGCCAGCAGACTCCCCCGCACTCTTGTCCCCCAGAGAGCAATTGAGACTGGCGTTGGCAGGTGATGAGGTTGGCCCCTTCCCCTGATGATGATTCTCATTACTCCGAAACTCTAAGACTGTGTTCTCCAGGGGCTCCTCGTGATTATCCGAGGAGTTGAAGGGTGACTTTTGTCCATCGAACTCCTCCTCAGGGATTTTCATGTTCCTGGTGAGAGTCTTCTTCCTCAGCCAAGAGGTGGACGAGGATCTTCGCTCGTTACTCTGCCCCTGGTAGTTCTCCTTGTCAACAGGCTCTTCAACAGAGGCGTCCTGTCCCTCCAGCACACTATTCTCGTTGTTCCGGGGGCTGGAGTTGCCCTCAGAAGTTGACGAGGTGTTCACCAGGGGCTTCGGTCGAAGCACCAGACGCTTTGCGTTGGACCTCGGTTGGAAGGCCTCCAACAGGGTTGGATCCTCCTCCTCCAGCCCCTCGAACAACGATTTCTTCGATAACTGCGCTGGGGTGACCACTCTAGCCTTCACTTTAGGGGAATTCGTCGTTGACACTTTGAACTGGGAGTTGTGCATGTTCTTGCCAGCTGGTGCATTCGATGGCTTCAGTATCTCAGCTGCTTTGCCAGAGGCTGGCAGAAGGTTCTTCAGCAGTGGAGAGTCTCCGAAAGGGGCTGACACCAGCGCCAGGATCTGCTGGTGAACAGGTACAGACGAGGAATTCTGCTGAACTGGATTGCTCATCCCTCCTAGGAGATTCATTCCAAGTCCAGTGTTGGTGGCTCCAGTGGTTCCGAATCCCCCAGAGGTTCCAAAGGCCCCAAGATTGTTGAAGGTCGAAGTCGTCGAGGGATTGCCAAACAGCCCTCCAGGCTTGCTCTGACCGAAGAGGGAGGAGGTTCCTCCCAGGGTCAAGCCAGTGTTGGTCCCCAGTGCTGAGGTCGCTGCGGGTGTAGCTCCGAAGGGGAATCCACTGGTTTGTGTTGAAGGCTTGAAGGGAGTGTTGAAGAGGGAAGTGTTGGTGTTGGATGTCGTCCCAAATCCTGGGTTTGTGCCGAAGGCAGGGGCTGGGGTGGCCCCGAAGCCGGTGGTTCCAGTCCCGAATCCAGTGGTTCCAATGGGCTTAGCACCGAAGAGAGTGTTGGAAGTGCTGGCTGGTGTCGTCTGGCCAAATCCAAAGCCAGTGTTTGACGTAGCTGGGGCGATATTGAAGGCTGGCTTGCTCTGGTTGAAGAGTCCGAGACTCTGGTTCTGCTGGGGGGCTCCAAACCCACCGAAATTCGTGCACTGGCTGGTGTTGAGGGTTCCAAAACCTGTGGCTGGCTGATTGGTGCTGGTGTTGGAGAATAGTGTCGTTGGGGCTGCTGCACCGAAGGGCTTAGACTGTGTGTTTGTGCCGAAGAGACCTGTAGATGGCGTGGAATTGTTGAAGGCGAAGGCACTGGTGGTGGTGGCTGGGGTGCCAAAACCAGGCACTGATTTCCCGAAGAGGCCTCCAGATGTTGTCGACTGGTTGGTGGTGCCGAAGCCACTGGCCATGGAGCCGAACCCAGTGGTGCCTGTGCTCGTGATGGCACCGGTGTTGCCGAACGGGGACGTCTGGGTGGGGGCTCCGAAGAGGCTCGTTGTCTGGCCTGCCTGCGCTGGACCTTTCAGGCCGGCTGTGTAGTCCTCCAGGCGGAGCTCCTCCAGGGATTTGTTCTCGTACTCCTTCATCACCATTATGCAGTGGTGACGGGTCGAGATGTTCTGCGTTGCACCGTTCTTCACCATTGTGTCGGTTCCTGTGACCAGGCTGAATTTCACCTGGGGGCATTCGAGTTAGGTATAAATTATGAAATATGGAGAAAATGAAACGCTCGGAAAGGAATTCAGTAGCGAAGTGGTAAAACTCAAAATACTCAAAATAAGTGAATTTTTATTATTGACCAGTTTTCAATGAATATCTCGGAATCTAAGGGAGATAGCAAAATTTTTATTATAACCTTTTTTGTAGAGCCGATTGAGAGCTACAATAAATGTAGATACGAAAATTTCGCTATCTCCCTTAGATTNTAGGGGAATTCGTCGTTGACACTTTGAACTGGGAGTTGTGCATGTTCTTGCCAGCTGGTGCATTCGATGGCTTCAGTATCTCAGCTGCTTTGCCAGAGGCTGGCAGAAGGTTCTTCAGCAGTGGAGAGTCTCCGAAAGGGGCTGACACCAGCGCCAGGATCTGCTGGTGAACAGGTACAGACGAGGAATTCTGCTGAACTGGATTGCTCATCCCTCCTAGGAGATTCATTCCAAGTCCAGTGTTGGTGGCTCCAGTGGTTCCGAATCCCCCAGAGGTTCCAAAGGCCCCAAGATTGTTGAAGGTCGAAGTCGTCGAGGGATTGCCAAACAGCCCTCCAGGCTTGCTCTGACCGAAGAGGGAGGAGGTTCCTCCCAGGGTCAAGCCAGTGTTGGTCCCCAGTGCTGAGGTCGCTGCGGGTGTAGCTCCGAAGGGGAATCCACTGGTTTGTGTTGAAGGCTTGAAGGGAGTGTTGAAGAGGGAAGTGTTGGTGTTGGATGTCGTCCCAAATCCTGGGTTTGTGCCGAAGGCAGGGGCTGGGGTGGCCCCGAAGCCGGTGGTTCCAGTCCCGAATCCAGTGGTTCCAATGGGCTTAGCACCGAAGAGAGTGTTGGAAGTGCTGGCTGGTGTCGTCTGGCCAAATCCAAAGCCAGTGTTTGACGTAGCTGGGGCGATATTGAAGGCTGGCTTGCTCTGGTTGAAGAGTCCGAGACTCTGGTTCTGCTGGGGGGCTCCAAACCCACCGAAATTCGTGCACTGGCTGGTGTTGAGGGTTCCAAAACCTGTGGCTGGCTGATTGGTGCTGGTGTTGGAGAATAGTGTCGTTGGGGCTGCTGCACCGAAGGGCTTAGACTGTGTGTTTGTGCCGAAGAGACCTGTAGATGGCGTGGAATTGTTGAAGGCGAAGGCACTGGTGGTGGTGGCTGGGGTGCCAAAACCAGGCACTGATTTCCCGAAGAGGCCTCCAGATGTTGTCGACTGGTTGGTGGTGCCGAAGCCACTGGCCATGGAGCCGAACCCAGTGGTGCCTGTGCTCGTGATGGCACCGGTGTTGCCGAACGGGGACGTCTGGGTGGGGGCTCCGAAGAGGCTCGTTGTCTGGCCTGCCTGCGCTGGACCTTTCAGGCCGGCTGTGTAGTCCTCCAGGCGGAGCTCCTCCAGGGATTTGTTCTCGTACTCCTTCATCACCATTATGCAGTGGTGACGGGTCGAGATGTTCTGCGTTGCACCGTTCTTCACCATTGTGTCGGTTCCTGTGACCAGGCTGAATTTCACCTGGGGGCATTCGAGTTAGGTATAAATTATGAAATATGGAGAAAATGAAACGCTCGGAAAGGAATTCAGTAGCGAAGTGGTAAAACTCAAAATACTCAAAATAAGTGAATTTTTATTATTGACCAGTTTTCAATGAATATCTCGGAATCTAAGGGAGATAGCAAAATTTTTATTATAACCTTTTTTGTAGAGCCGATTGAGAGCTACAATAAATGTAGATACGAAAATTTCGCTATCTCCCTTAGATTTGGAAATATTCCTCAAAAACTCAACTGGGGGATCAGTCGACTTAAACTGTTCTACCACTTCGCTACTGAATTATTTGACGCAATTGAAGCAAAAGAATTTTTTTATATTTTTTTATCAACATTTTTTTATTCTTGGGAGTGCTGATGAGAATAATAATTTTCCATTCGAAAGAATGATAAAGATAAAGATATAGATTGTAATATAAAAAGCTCATGACTGTATTGTGTAACTTGATAAGCAATGATACTGTTCTCACCATTTTTCTCTTTTCAATTAACAAAATAAATTATTCGAAGTCAAGATAGCAAAACAAAGAATAATTAAATTATGAAATAATTAAATGCAGCCGAAACCCCTAATTTCTGGACGACTGGGCCATATTTTTTTTATTCATTACATGTAGACCAATGCAAAAAAAAAATTGATTAATTATTTCAATTTATTATTCATGAAAAATTAAAAGAAAATTTTAAAAAATATATTAAATATATATTTTTTATAATATATAGTTTTGTTTATTATATATTACATATATATTTTTAAATTTATATATGCATATAAATTAAAATTTATTATTCATGATTTATTATTTATTATTATTGATAGATTATTTGAATTTTTATTCAATTGAAGTTGAAATCGTGCAGAAACTAGCCCCGTCCAGAAATTGGCCTGTTTACCCTAAATATAAAAAATCCATAAAGTTTCACAAACCATTCCAGTTCCAGTGATGCCAGTGCTAGTTGTCCCAGCTCTGAACCCCCCTGGATTTCCAAAAAGACTGGTGTTAGCTGTATTATTCATCTGGCCAAAAGGAGTTGTCTGTTGAACAGGCTGTTGCGTCTGTCCGAAGAGAGAAGTTCCTGTGCTGGCGCCAAATCCAAAGCCCGCGGGCTTCTGCGTCTGGCCGAAGGCTGAGGTTGTCCCGCCAGTTCCGAAGATACTGGTGTTGGCATTCTGCTGGGTTCCGAAGAGGCTGGTGTTGGCGGTGCTGGTGCCGAAGCCCCCGAAGGACGACTGGGTGGTGGCTGGCTGGCCGAAGGCTGGGGCTGCCGCTGTGTTCCCGAAGAGACCACCTGTGGTGGCCCCCGCTGGCTTCGCACTGAACAGGGAGGAGGTGTTGTTGGCCCCGAACACTGGCGTCGAGGTTGTACCGAACCCCGTGGTCGTGGATATCGGCTTACCGAAACTCGATTGACCGAAGGGGCTGCTCTGCGTGGCCGAGCTGAAGCCTCCTGGAGGAAGAACGGTTCCAGTGAACAAGACGAATAGGAAATGGAGAAGTCGAGGGTTACTCTTTTGCATTAGGAATTGGTGAAGTACTGGTTGAATGAAATTTTTTTATTTGACAATGTGGAACTTCATTCATGGGTTTTTGGATTGTTGCATTGAGAATTCGTGAATTCTGGGCTGGAGAATGACATTTTAGGATTGACGAAGAAATATTGCGATTCAAGACGAAAAGAGGAAATTTAGAAATCACGGGTCACTGTTTTGCGTTAATAAATGTTGAGTTATTAAGGATGTTCGACACCCTTTTAGCCAAGATTGACGTTGTTTTCATTTTTCTGGGAAACTATCGATGGGAGTGACGTGAAAAAATATAACGATTTTGTGGTTTGTCATTCTTTAATGGCTCATGAGGTTGCGTAGTGGTGCGATAATTTTCATGCGTTTTTTCTACAGTTTTGTGATTCTTTTTCAAAGTTTAGAGAAAACGCAGGAAAATGTTCGCACCACCTTAAAAGTTCGTCAGTCATTAAATAATGACAAAACGCAAAAACGTTATATTTTTTCACGTCAATTCCATCATAAGTTTGCCAGAAAAATTNACTTCTTGGTTTAAGAATTAAAATTTCGGGGTTCACAAGGAAATATTTCGATTCAAGACGAAGAAAAGGAATTTTTTTTACCCAAACAAACATGACGAAATACTCACCGAACGAGGTGTTACCAGTATTGCCAAACATGATGAAAGCCCTCCACCTGCCCTCGATCTCGATTTTAACCTCTCAGAAATCTAAAAGTTCGAAAAAAATTTATTCTAAAACCTGTGAATCTGCAACTGATCCACAAAATCCATCGCCCTCTGAGTTTGTTTCCTCTCCACTCAATTATTCCTCCATTAATTTCCCCAATGAGTCCAAAATTAACGGATAATTTCAAGTAATTCTGATCAAGTAGTTCCCCCAGGAATTCACCACTCAAAACATTCCACACGATCCTTCAAAATACTAATAAAACCCCCGCAATGGCCTCATCAAAGCATGTCCACCCCCGATACCATCGACCCACCCTGAATAATTAATGAACCCTGGTAATAAATAAATAACAACCAACAAAAGCCACTTACCTCCAAAAATTCAATTTGGTGAATGGATTGCACAATGTGGCGCAGGTGACACCCGCCCTTTCCGAGCCACCGATCTCGCCTTGACTTCCACACCTTCCGAATTCCGTATCACTTATTATTTACAATATCAAAATAACAACAAATTGCGGTATTTTATTCTCTTTGTGAACTGTCAACGACAAACCACGCAAAAAGAGCCTCGCGAGCATGGAATATGCGTCTGAATTCCTCTCTGTTTTGCCCACTGAAGTGAGATTGGCGGTGCCACCGTCGCACCCCCCTCTCGCGCGAGTGGCCGGGAGGGGCGGGTGAACAGCGTTGCCAGTTCGCTCGTTCTACCGGGAGATCTACATTTCAAAAAAATAGAGCGGGCGCGCGCGCTTTTGCGCACGCTGATCCTTTTCTTCAGTTCAGGAAATGAAAAAGGGAAATTGGTTGCATTTCATGCACTCAGGAACGCATTATAATTAGCAATGGTCTATGCAGTGAAAAAAAATTAAATTTCATGCCACGCTGTGCGATAAGTCAAGTTTAAAACACGCTCGACGACTACCGCACGAGGTGGCATAAACAACACTATAGAACACTCGGCGATAAATTCCATTGTCAACGAATGTGAGTAGACCTCGCCTTCGGCTCGGCCTGTAAACTTCACATCCGTTGAAAACGAAATTTCACACCTCGTACTCTAATATACTGCAAGATCTATGCGCTGATCTATTCATTTGTTGAAATGAAGAAATGGAATTCATTGAATTTCATTTTCTCATGAACACCTTATAAATATTGATAATGAACCAAAGAGAATTCGACTAATGATTGAAGTGAATATCGAAGTAGAATAAAGGAATCTATAAAGAATTTCTCATTTTCAATTAATTATCTTCAATTTTTTTAAATAATCGGTCTCCATAAAAGGACAGAATTGATTAATTTCACCGATGATACAGAGGAGGGTGGGGTAAAACGGACACTTTAGACTTTTTTTTATTATTCATAACTCAGAAACAAATTAATCAATTGAGCTTAGGCTCGTCACAAAGGAAAAGAATTGTTTTTTGTATTGACAAAAAAAATCATTAAATTTTGTCAACATTTCAACCCCTCATTGAGATTTAAAAAAAAGTCAAAAGTGTCCGTTTTACCCCAACCTCCCCTATATATATATATATATATATATATATATATATATATATATATATATAGGACCTCTAAAGATGGTTTTGAAGCAGGGGAGACTCCTAGACCCCATTGTCCTCCTAGACAATGTTGTCACAGCTCTGCTTTTCAATTGAAAACAGATATCATCTTCAGAGACATTTGTCATGTTTAGAGGCTCTAGCACGTCATTTCTCGACCTGCTCTTTCGTTTGAGTCCAAAAAAACATTCATATCTTGTCTGACATCGCTGCTACAAACTCGGGTCTACAACTCGGGCCTTCAATTGAAAGCTACAAATTCTGGTCATCAACTCTGGTTTTCAGTTGAAATTGGAATTGTTAATTTACACAATAATAGGAGTCCATTGACGATTTTTTCTTAACTCGTAAAAATCTTCAAACAATTTGCTACCGATTGGTGATAAAATTTTTTGAAAATAATGAAATAGGGGGGATAACGCCTTTTTTTTCAGGGATGATTTTTCAAAAATTTATTTTAAAAAAAGTACTAACTAGCAAATGTTGTTTATTAGCTCACAATTTTCTTCAAAACTACTTCAATGAGGAAAAAAATAAAAATTCGGAATACCTATACATGAGGGGCTAATTGATCGGATCTCCTCCCCCGCCGTCCCGCGATTTTTTCCTTCCATCGACCTGGCAACACTGTCCCACCCAGTGGTGCGTCTTGCGGCCCCCGTCCGCAGCAAAAGGCCATTTTGATTAGTAACATGGCGTCAGGCGAGATTAATATGGCGTCCTCAGACATAATAACCGAAGTTGAAATACAACCGGACATCCAGGAGGTAGAAATCGAAACGATACCCGTTGAAATACCGTGTGAAACTGTTGAAACAACAATTGAGGGTGAAGACGGCCAGCCAATAATATCCCTCCAACCACTCCCCGAGCCAGGACGTGAGGAAATCATACTACAGACGCAGGAGGAAATCGTCGGTGGTGATCCCCTGAGCGTTTACGATCAAATACCAGTGCCAGACAACGATATTTATGTTGAATCGAGTCCAGGGCCATCGCGAAAAGCAACAAAGAAAGCGAGAAAAGGTGGTAATTCACGATTTCGAGGGCCCGATCACACGATATTCGGGGAAATGGGGACTGAAACCAAAGCGAGAAAGTGGGAGCAGAAGCAAGTGCAGATCAAGACACTCGAGGGTGAATTTTCGGTGACAATGTGGGCGTCTGGGACTGACGACGGTGAGTGCAAACATCTCAAGGATTTTTCTTACAATCAGACAGGGCATTTACTCCCTCGATTATTTTCTCCTCGAGAGCTTCAGCATTTTTTTTTCCCCCCTCGAGTTATTTCACTTACACGTTCATGTTACGATGCCACTTGGATACACCGACGGTGACTACGCACTTCCGGTTTAATCCAATCGATAACTGGGTATTCGAGCACGTAGAAATGTGAGAAATGTGTTTGGGGTGACATTTGGGGGATTAATTTTTTAATATTGAGATACCGGCGGTCTCCATTGACAGTATCTGTTGTTTGTTTTGATCGTGGCAACGCCATTATGATGTCAGGGGGCAGCCATATTTTGAAAATGGCTTCTTTTTAGCGATCTTGCAACTGGGAATAATGGCGGCCTTTGTCGGGCCGCCATTCAGGGAATGTGGGGACAAAGATCAGATTCTGGCGCAGATTTTCCGCTGGGGAATGGCCTGTCCCTGGGCTGTTCTCGGTGAAGCGTTAATGCATGATTTTTCTGCGATATTTTTGACCTTCCGGGGACCTCAGGGGGGGCTTTGAGGGGCTCTGGGAGGCTTCGGGAATTTTTGGAGTGAAATTCTTGGGCATTCGAGAATGGCTCTCCGCCATGTTGGCGGCCCACAATGCACTGCGACGCGCCTATTTTTGGTTTAAATACTGTTCGCGATGGGGTGGTATGAAGCAATTGTTGCTGTGAGGGAGATAAGGATGGTGAGGAGTTGAGGGAATTTTGGCTTTTTGCGAGGGGCTGGTCACTTCTCAATCGGGTGGCTCAGTGATTCCCAGAATGGGATGATTTTATGGGATTTCTTGAGGGATTTCTGACATTTCTCAATTAATATTGGAAGTCATGATTTAACGGGATTGCCATGAGCTCCAGTAGATTTTGATGATTTCTTTAAATTAAGGATTTCAATTTCAAGAAATCATCAGAATCTATTAGAAGCTCGAATAAGAAATTTGGGTTTCACATTCATCGATGATTGCTAATTATTTCTCAAATTATCTGATTTCTATATGATTCGTACTGATTTCCAATTATTTCCAGAAGTCATTAAAAATCACTATCGAAAATGTAAATCGCTTGATTTCCAATGATTTCGGGTGATTTCTTCCCTATTGTGATTTCTTCTCAATTTTTGATGGATATCTTGGAATCTAAGAGAGATAGCCAAATTTTTCTCATTACCTTTTTTGTAACCCTCAATTGGCTCTACAAAAAAGGTCATGACAAAAATTCTTCTATCTCCTTTAGATTCCGAGATATTCGTCAAGAACTGGCCAGTAGTCAAAATCGACTTGACCCGCTTTCGCTATTAAATTAAAAAATTGCGTTAAAAGTACGGATGTTGGTGTACACTCATCACAATCGAAGTCAGTCCTCTCGCAATCTCTGGATGCAGTGATGGTATAAATCCCTGATAAAACCGTCGAGACGATGAAGCAATAAATAAAAAATAATCACATATTTTTACTCATAATATTTATATTGCACTCAGCTATTTAACATTCAACGAATTTGATCTTAAGTTCATTTTGAAGATCAATTTTCTCGATACTCAGAATACTGGGATAACAAATTGCTGATGTTGTTGTTTACGTGCTCAGCGTAAATCAATAATAATAGTTGAGTTTTTCAATTATCAAACATTCCAATGAACATACTAAATAGTCAAGCCCAGACTTATTTTTACTCAAGCATACGATTTTTTTTTTCACGAAGGAATGAAAAATGAAATGAAAAATATTTTTATATATTTTTTCTTATTTATTTTTTAAAAAAGCTCCAAAATGGAAAGAATTCTTTAATAAAGAACATTGTAGTCCTCGAGAATCGCCAATAATAATACTGACATTATTATTATTATTATTATTATTATTATTATTATTATTATTGATAATTTATCATGGCAACTAACGATTTGTCAGCCATTAGATACTGTAAATTATTAATTTGCAATTTCCTCCCTATTGGGTTTATTTCTCAATATTATTCTAAAACGCTTTTTGAAAATGTTCAGTTTTTTTCAACGGTTTTTTGATTGTACAGTCATAATTTTTGAAGACTCCAGAGCTATGTAAAACTGGATGGCAATTGAAGAACGTTTCAGATTATCAAAAGAAAAAAAAACAAGATCACGTTCGAAAGATAATACACGCGGGCCTTAAGTCAACCATTTCCAATATTGTTTAATTCTTTTCCTTTTAAGACAAGAAAAGGAAAAAATTTCCAGGGGAAAAATAAATGAGGGGAAACAATTTCCAAAGAAAAAATGAATGAGGATAAAAAATTTCGAAAGGAAAAATTCACCGGGGAAAAAATTTCTGGGAATTTTTCAATAGGGAAAAAAACTCCGGCCACTGAGCAGTTTCTCACTTGTTATTTTTTACTATCAAAAAAAGATTAAATAAAAAATATTAACGACGTATAAATGAGCAATGCCATAGCTTTTGTTTGGGTTTGCTTGTTTGTTGCTGTTAAAGGGAGTGTCCTATTAGCGTCTCACCTGGTGGATGTTCCAGATGAGGGCTCAAATCCCGAGCCTGATCCAGATTACACCGAGTACATGACAGGAAAGTCGTCGACAAAATTCAATCACTCTGGCAGTTCAGTGTCGGACGGTATGCCAGGCTTAGATCTCTCAGATCCAAAACAACTGGCTGAATTTGCCAGGCCTGGGCACAAAATGAAAGTACGCAAACCACCGGCTATGGATGGAGTTGAACGTACCATTGCCTGTCCCCACAAAGGCTGCACCAAGATGTTTCGTGATAATAGTGCAATGAGAAAACACTTGCATACACATGGGCCCAGGGTGCATGTGTGCGCCGAGTGTGGTAAAGCCTTTGTGGAGAGTTCGAAACTTAAGAGGCATCAGCTCGTTCACACGGGGGAAAAGCCATTCCAGTGTACGTTCGAGGGATGCGGCAAGAGGTTCAGTCTTGATTTTAACTTGAGGACCCACGTCAGGATCCACACGGGGGACAGACCTTACGTCTGTCCGTTCGATGGCTGCAGCAAGAAATTTGCACAGTCTACCAATCTCAAGTCACACATATTGACACATGCGAAAGCAAAGTAAGTTTTATGTTGGTAATTCTTTTATTTGTACACTATTTCTCTCTTCGTTTTAGTTTGGTATTGTTTGTTTATTAATTAGGTCGTTCATTTGTCTATTTTTCGGTTTTTCTGAGGTGAAAAATCGGTTAATTTTGGATAAATTCTAGGAAATGTGCTGTAAAATGTTCATTTATTTATTTATTCATTTTTTATTTATCAATTTTAATTTTTTATGAGGTGAAAATCAGTCAATTTTAGATGAATTTCTGTGACATTTTGAATTTGAGTTTGATATGATTATTGAAATGATTTGAAATTATGGAAAATCAAGCAATAATTGTCTTGAAGTTCCAACTTATTGAAAATTTACTTCTTTCAGGTCAATGTTCAAAATTAGAATTATCATTTTACGAAAGAAAAGTGAAATTTATCTTGGTAATTCGTTCATTGTTCTCTCAATTATTTTGATATTGTCATTGTTTATTTATTTATCGTTTCGTCCATTCATCAATTTTTTTACAACAAAATGAAACGTTGAATTTTAATTTGATACGATACCAATAATTAATTCAAAATTTCAATCCTGTTCAAAATTGAATCTTCAAAAATTCATGATTAATTCGATCGAAAATCCTGATAAAACAATTAACTTTAAACGCATCCCCGACTGTGCCTCGACTGTATTAGAAAATATTCTAGATTTTATTGATGAAAAATCATTGCCTTTTATAAAAATTTCCCAATTTCCTTCACAACATCAAAAATTCTATTCAATCTATTCAATAATTAAACTTCAATAAATTTTCGCCACTCGTAAAAATTAATTAAACTTTTCTGTTTCAATTTTCCCTGCAACCCCTAATAAACCAATAATTACAGATCGAGAAATTCCATTGGCAGACAAGTAGCACAAATCCAGCTCCAACAGCCCCAATTTGTCCAGGTTGAAGTGGCAGACGTCGACAACCAGCAGTTCATCGTCTACGCAGATTAGCCCCCCTAAACCTACTGCCCTCCCCTATTACTTTTCTTTTCATCCCTTGACGAAACCTAATTATTCTCATAATATCGTAATCATTTACGTGAGTAATCCCAGAACTGTGTACATATTTACAAAAGAAGAAAGGAAAAAAAAAGAGAGAAAACGAAGGAAAAAAAAGGATTGTGGCGCTTATAGAGAAGAATTAAAAGATAATTTTCACAATTTAAACTGTCACATGATTTATCAGCTCCGTGTTTTTTATGATAAAAAAAATATAGAACAGTGATGATTGAAATTAACTGAACACCAGGGAGCACAACACGACTGCGAGGCAAATGAAGTAAGAGTGAAGAAGAATAACTGAACAAGTGATGTAAACTGGTAGTTGTACTTCTTGGGGGGGAAATGCGAGATAGACTGATGGCGCACTGCTCAATTTAATGTCAAAAGAGAGATGATTAACGAATAAATGATTGAATTTCCAACAATCTAGTGCGTGCTCGTCGAAATACATGACTGTATATATTTATAAGTGAAAGTTAAATATTGTATACAGTATATTTTGGAAGATAATGATAATTCAGAATAAAATCATGAAAGAATTCTTTCTCTGCGAGGAATAAATGGTAAATCAATACAACAATTGTCGAAACTTTAATTTTTAAACGGTTGGGGAATTGATGTTTCGTGTCCTGGAGCTTTTTAAATTGTTTTCGGGAATATGTCGACGAGCGGTAATCATAAATTGAATGGCTCGTGGTTCTGCAGCTTTTTAATTCATTTGTGGTCTTCTTGGTTTAGGTCATTTTCCTCTGGAGTTGGTCTAGGGCTGTATTTTTCTCGAAAATTTATATTTTGAAATTAATTTCTCCCTTTTTTGCCATTGTTTCCGAAAATTTTTGTTAATTTAATTTTGTTTGAAGTTTAATTCTCAGAAGTGAAGTTATGATTGAATTTTTCGCATTTGTTGAGTACTAAAGAATTAAATTCTCTTGAATTGACAACATAAATCTAAAATTCGTGATGAATGCCATTTTATGAAAATCATAAATTTCAATGGATGTTTGACTTAAGGTCTCTCATCAGTCATTGAAAATTGAACTTTCATTTCAATTTTTTGAGTCTTAAAGACAATTTTTTTAGTGAAAAATTATCGGAAAGAATTTATTCAAAAATAAATTTTAGCTCTGGGAAACTTAAAAAAAGAAAATTCCATACGAGAAAGTTTTGAGGAGAAATATAGCCCCGATGGATTCTGCTATGCGTTAGAGAATGGGAATTATTCACAATTGAGCAGTATGAAGGGGGAAAAAATGTGCAAAAGTCGTGTTTTTATTACGGGTCTGATAAGGTCGAGTGTTAGTAATACGATGATTCAACATGTAGCCTTAAAAATGAACTTTATTGAGTTTGTTAATAACAATACGAGGATTTATTCGGAGAGCAAACGAAAAATTTGAGAGAAGAAATGAGCTTTGACATCCGATAATTCCATTGGCCTATTATATTAATAGCGGATATGTATAAGTGATTAGGAAAATTGGAGTAACTGTACACCTCGACGTTACGAATATTACCTTGGAGTTAAAATACATCATTAACGTTTTTCCTTTGCATTTATTCACCTTTTATTATTGATTGAGAGTACGTGAGTGGGGAGAGCTTGGTGTGAATGTCTGATGCTTATGAATTTGTATTTCTGATATCATTAGAACAGAGATAACTTTTATTATTAAATATAAAGAAATATTGAAATGTGGGGTAATGTTGATTGAATATGTCACCAATGCGAGAGAACAAATACAAATGTTTCTATTGTACGGTAGATTGAATTATTTTGAGTTGCTAGTGGTATTCTTGGGGTGACGAGGAAGGTAAGTTGCATGTTTTTTATTTTTATTGAAGAAAATTATAGAAATTTGCATGAAAAATCACTGGAGGTCGGGTTTGAACTCACGACTCTTAGGTTTCCAGTCTGAGGCTTTACACACATGACTATCCACATTTTTCTGAGGCCGGATTATTTCTTGTTTTAATTAATTTCTCCTTGAGAATTATTCACTAACTAATTTCCTTAAACTATTTTTCTAGCGGTTGTTGTCTCTTATCTTTTCTCCCGCAGAATATCTCTTTTGATTTATCTGGCCCCAACAAACATAGTTTAGCCCCATCAGAATGAATTATTGGATAATAATCAGTAAAATCATTTTTTAAGTAATTTATAATTCCATGCCAAGGACCATCTATTGTGGAAAATTCATCTTGTACGTGATTTAAGTCTGCAAGACCGTTGCGGAAAATTGATAGAAATTAGGGAAATTCAGGTGAAGTTTCCCTGACATAAAAAATGAGTCTTAAAATAAATAAAAAATTTATGCGTTTATGCAATTTACGAAATTGCATATGAAATTACGTAAAAAGCATTCCTTACGACTCATTCCACCTTCTAGAGACATTTATGAAATTACGCAAGGTCACAGGTAAAAATTACCAAAAAAAATTACCCTGACATAAAATTGGAAATTTCGGATTTGACGAACGCAATGCGTCCAGACGCAAAAGCCTCAAATTAACCACAAAATCATCAAAAACTGGAGTACTACATTTTTATAAATATTCGGTATGAAATTTCAAAAAGACCTCGTGTCGCCTCGCAGCGTCACTTGTCGGAACCCGTGGACTCAGCTGACAACACAAAAAATGTGTCAACATAGTGTGTACGTCAAGTTGGGGTTAGGGAAAATATTTAGTTGACGATCGTAGCATGTGGTGAAGTAATAACCTGTTGGCCAGATGGTATTGTTGATGCTGGTATCATCGACAATTCTCAATTGAAGAAACAAAACAAAGGTTCATCGAATTATCACAGTGGACATTCGAGGATGGAGCAAACTGCTGTGCTTTGGATGCTGTCGGTGGTGATGCTGGTGGGATCGTACCTGGCCGGATCTCTTCCACTTGTGATGAACCTCTCCGAGGTGGGGATCATTCTTGTTTATTGTCTGATGGATTCGCAGGGCTCAGCTCATCTATTTTTTTTTTTTGTTCAGGATAAACTGCAGTTGGTCTCGGTTCTTGGGGCTGGCCTTTTGGTGGGAACCGCCCTGGCTGTGATCATCCCTGAGGGAATTAGGGCGCTTTTCAGTGAGGCTACTACTGCTGCTCCTGGGGCTCAGCATTCACACGATGAACATGGTGCGTAATTCTTCGTCAAGATGAGTGAAGAGGGCTTGAAATAAAATCAGTAGCGAAGTGGTAAAACGGTACATGTCAATTTTGAGTATTGACGATTAATATTTCGGAATCTAAGGGAGATGGCAAAATTTTGTTATGACCTTTTTTGTAGAGCCGATTGAGAGCTGCAACAAATGTAATTACGAAAATTTCGCTATCTCCCTTAGATTCGGAAATATTCCTCGAAAACTCAACTGGGAGAGGGAAAACGGACAGTCTCCAATCGTAAATCACTTGGGAATGGCAGAGTGGAATGTCGATTTTTTTTTGTTTTTCGAGATTTTTTTTAAGCTTCGAAATGAGACCTCATTCATCGAAATCGTGTCATTTTTTCAGGAGATATTGAGCATTGAAGACTCAATAAATGACGTGATGAAGAAATGGTTTCACAGCAATTCTCTAGATCAAAGAATTCTTTATTAATTCAAGATCAACGTTAATAATGCATATTAATATGAATAATGAAATGAATACTATTAGGTTGAAATCAAATCGACGATTATAATATCGACAATATCATCGACAATATCATCACGAGAATTTCACTCGTTACATTTCGAAATCACAGGGGCCTTTATCGTGCTGACGAGTTTACATATTCCATAACACTTATAACACTCATATTACATAATACTCATATAAAACAAATACATGTATTTGCAAATAATTCCAGACTAAAACAGATGGAGCACACGATAGCATGCCATTGTAACGTGACTTACTTATATCCCTCAAGGATTTTTCAAAATCATGCGCCTTGTCAGCAATTTCAGATATCGGGAACATTAATATATCCAAGGAATCATCACAATATTCAGTAAATTTGTTCACTGAAACCCAATTTTTAGTCATTCTTTCTTACGAATGAAAGCATTGCAATCGTTCAATTTTTAGATTCTGTAGAATAGAGAAATGGAGGACTAAAATAATTTTTAAAAATCTGTAATTTCGGCAGGTTATAGGTATTAATGAGAACCAACTCTGTGCTCAATTTCAGCCCAATTGACCCACCCATTTTTGAGGAATCGCCATTGTTTGTAAATTGTTTTTCGCAAATATCTCGAAAACCGAATCGATTTCAATTTCTTATTTCAAAATATTCGTCTGGATGCAATTCTATTCTTCTGTCTCAGTCGATAGAAATATATGTACCTGTTCATTCAAAATTTTCGAGATATTTCAAAAATTAAATACTCATGACTAGATAATTCGAAGATTTTGACTCCAACGGCACAAAAGTCCTAGACTAAAAGACAAAATTCTCGTATAAAATGAAGAACTTCCCAAAATTTCTATAATTTGTATTCTTTTTAGGCGATCCCCACAGTCTCATTGGAATCAGTCTCGTCCTCGGTTTCGTCTTCATGCTCCTGGTGGATCAGTGCTCGAACAGAAGATCAGGGGGAAAGGAAAAAAGTATGACAGCTACTCTCGGACTCGTGGTCCATGCGGCTGCTGATGGAGTTGCTCTCGGAGCTGCTGCAACGACATCCCAAGCTGACGTCGAAGTCATTGTGTTTCTAGCTATCATGTTGCACAAAGTAAATATCCAAGTGATATATTTTGTCTGCATTTTTGCATTTTCATCATTGATCATTCGTCATTTATTTCAGGCACCGGCAGCTTTCGGATTAGTGTCTTTTCTGCTTCATGAGGGAGTGGATAAAAAGAGAATTAGTCGACATTTACTGGTATTTTCATTGTCTGCACCTTGCCTGGCGCTCATTACGTATTTTGGAATCGGAAAGGTACGAAAATTTCTCATGACAGATTAATAAATTTTTTATGAAATTATTAATATTTATAATATTATTATAAATATTATAATATTATTATTTACATTATTATTATTATTATTATTATTATTTTATTAATATAATTCGTGATTATTGTAATTATGCGAAATTTCTGCAATCAGGATGAATTGATTACTTTTTGTTATTCTTATCGCCAAGGAAGGTTCTGGAGAAAATCAAAGTATTTTCTTAACATTTTGCTATTGACTGCCTTTCACCACTTCACTTCCACTTCACTGGAATAATTGGGGATTTTTAATCAATTTAGAAAGGCTTATTTTGAAAGGAGTGAGAGTAGGAAATCGTGCTTATTGTTAATCATATTAAAATTAAAAACGTAGATTTTCTAGATATCCATTTTCTACTCTCAATATATGAGATTTATTGGAATTTAATTGACATTCACATATGAATTTTCAACATTATGATTTTTATCGGGATTGGATATGAATCCTGAATTTCTTATTTATGTTGAAAGTTTAAGAAAATGACGTTTTCAAAATGTTGATAGCAATAACAGAAGTTTTAATATTGAAATGAACATCACATGAAGATGAATTTTAAATAAATTCTCTAGATATCCATTTTCTACTCTCAATTCAATAAATGAGATTTATTTGAATTTAATTGACACTTGCATTAAAATTTCATAATAAATTGAGTGAAATAGTCATTCATCCTCACTGATTGTCTCCATATGAAAATGATTGTCTTCAGGAGGGGAAGGAGACACTCAGTAATGTCAACGCAACAGGTCTCGCCATGTTATTCAGCGCTGGGACATTCCTCTACGTGGCAACAGTCCACGTGCTCCCCGAGCTAATGACAAGAAACAGCAACGCCTATTCCCATCTGCCCACAGCTGAGGGAGTGCCCGTCCCGTCATCAGGACTTAAATTCAAGGAGATTGTGGCTCTCGTAGTCGGTTCATTCCTCCCTGCCCTACTCACAACAGGTCATCATCATTGACACAAACAACTCGCAACATTCGATTTTGTTGAAACTATCGGAAACACGACGCGTTGATGAAAACAAAAATCATTTGTTGATCGTAATTTAAATAGTTTCGATGGGTAAGTGCAACTCACGGGGAAATCTCATGAAATTTGTAAACGTAACATGAATTCGAAATTCTTTCATACAACTTCTTTGTACGTGTACCTGAGAGGTTTTTGATATATTGTTATTTTATTATCGTTTTATGATACTTGGGACATTTATGCATGCAGAATTGGGTGGGATGTCATTTCAATTGAAGTATTATTCGATTTTTTCAAGTCATTAAATGTAAAATATTTCAAACTACTTTAACTTCATTTTTGAAATAATTTTTTGTTTCAAAAAAATCGTTAATTGAAGGAAGATTCGACGAATGGTTGAATGAAATGATAAATATTCATTTCTATTCAGCTTCAGAAGAAAAAATGAATAATAGGAATTTATTTGTCAGAAATAATCAACTCAGAGTACTTTCTAAAGTTTCATTCTTGTTGGATTTTCATAGGATAGTGCCCAACTCTGCATGTAACTCTCTTAGAAAATAAGTCTTCAATAATTCCACGTAATTATGATTTTTTACATAATTTATTCAGCGAAGATATCGTGAAAATCTATATTTTTGTTTCGATGGGGCTATGTAATTAGGTACAATCATGTAGATAGAGTGAGATGAAATGATGCGTGAATACACGTCACATCAGTAATGACATTTGATGGGTGTATTCCGGGGACTGATTATTACGAATACAGGGGAGTGAGTGCGACTCTTTGCTTTTGCTGGTGATGCAAAAATTCCAATATGAATAAAACATTTTTCGATGGAATGTGTACATTTTGTTGGAGTGCTGAGAATGAATGAAAAATTAAAAAAAGCAAAATGTATTTTATTCTTGGTTTGTAATCTTGAATTTATCTTTTATTTTGTTAATACTGTAATAATTAATAATAATGATTATTGAAGGTTGAACGATTGAAATAAGGAGCAACCAGACAACACAATTAACAGAAGAGAATTAATTTTTATTATTTGAACTATTTGTGATCAGCTTTTATTTTTGAGCCATCAAAAATGATAATGATGATGATGATTAATATAGTACTTGAGTGGTTTTAATCTAAGAAATGCTACTTGAAATCATTTGTATATTCAACTGCCGAGGTAGGACAGATGAAATATTTCGGCAAAGAAAAAATACTATTTGAAATAATTGAACGATTTTTTTATTGTTAGAGATGAAGTGATAATTGAGAGCTTCATCATGGGCCGGTTGCACCAAGCCCTGTTCGCTATTTATATCATTGGATTAAATTTGTTCCAAGGCAAGCCTTATGAGTTAACTGGCCGTTAACTGGGGATTTATTTAACCGAGCTTGGTGCAACCGGCCCCAAGAGAAAAAACCTTTCCCGCCCATTCAACTAGTGAAACAGTAAAAACAAAATACTAAATGATATTTCAAAAAGATGTTTTACTTCTCCTTTTTGGACGAATTAGATGGATAATGAATCATCAATTTGAGGAAAGGCGAATAAATCGCCGGAGATTGGGTTTGAACCCACGACCCTCAGGTTTCCAGTCTGAGCCTTTACACACATGGCTATCCACTCTGTACAGAAAATAGTATTTCAAAAGGCTACTTTATTTCTCCTTTTCGGATGGATTACATGGATAATGAATCATCAATTTGAGGAAATGCGAGTAAATCGCCGGAGATTGGGTTTGAACCCACGACCTTCAGGTTTCCAGTCTGAGCACATGGCTATTCACTCGGTACATTAAATAGTATTTTATTTTCGCCTCCATTGCAAGACAATATCAAAGATCTATTTAATTTCATTTCCACACAGACAAATAAAATAAATAAATGAAGAAAAATTAAATGAATACTATTGAATCGATCGAAATACTATTTATATTCATACGTATAAAAAAAATTCGTTACCCTCATGTTACTCATGTTGAAAATTCGAGGCGAAAACAATACGAACACGCAACAGTGCGTTATAACCTGTAAATCACGTGAGGCATTTCAAGTTGCACCACATGTGAACTTGAGAAAGTTTGTTGACATTTTGAATGCAAACAAAATCGAGAAGATGAGTCACATAGTGGTAATAAGGGGCTACAAGCCCGGAGATGAATTACACTGTCGTGATATGATAAAAGATGCCATTATGACATCCTTCAACTCTGCTTTCATCGCCAATCTGTTCAAAGAAGTAACGTTTCAATTGATGATTCTTTGCGCTGCTATTATGTTTATATTCTTCGGGCTCCCTTTCTCCGTTTGTTTACTCGTCATTCCTATTGTTATTTTTTCAACTTATGCTGCGACTTATCTCGGATTCGTCATGATTGCTGCGGCGACGAATCAAGAGATAACGAATGTTCCCAGGTGAGTTTTTTCCTGAGGGATTTTATCTGGTTTTTATTTCTTGTTTCTGTTCAGGGACTGAGGGAATGAGATTTGATAATAATTTATGTCGATCTTATCATCATTATCATCATCATTATCTTATTATCGTTATTATTATTATCATTAAGTTGATACTATTCACTAATGGTTTATCAGCATTAATTATTCTTTAATGATGAGAATAATCATCATTATTAGTATTCATTTTTTATTTGAGACTATTTTAATATTCCAATGTTCTATACGGTCAATAAACTGATGAATATTTTTTTAAACAATAAATATTATTTGAGACGATTGATTGATAGAAATATGTTGAAATATTTTTATCATTATTATTTGATTATCAATTTATTATTATTTATTGATTATGAGGAACAGTCTTAAGCCTCTTACAATCTTCAATTATTTTATGAATCTTCCTCAAGAGAATTTTTTTTTTTTTTCTCAAGATTTGTATAAAAAAAATGAAATAAGACTTAAATTAAATTAAATAATTTTTCAGAGGTTGAAAAATAGGGAAATTTAGACCTTCAAATAAAGAAAAAATTGAACTTCTATTTTACGTTTTCATTTCAGAATTTACATGTCCAATGCATTTTCTTGCTTCTGGGTAGCAGAAGCCTTCCAACCGCATTTGATGATGAGATCCCCCAAAGACTATCATTACACAGTTATGACGGAGCAACAATTTCGCGAGGGGAACATCGATGTGTCCTCGCAGGCCAGGAGAATAGTGGGCACAGTGGGCCTTTTAAAAAGCTACAAGGTCGAGAAAGGAGCGTGGATAAAGCGCCTGTTCGTCGAGGAGAAATATCGTAGAAAAGGAATAGGGTCTGCTCTACTGAGCACTGCCCTGCAATTCGCCATTGACGAGGGGTACAGTTGTGCAGACCTCGTGACCTCTGAGTATGCTGAGGGAGGACGAGAGCTCTGCTTCAAGAAGGGCTTCGAACTCAAGCAGATGTATCACAAGCAGATCATTGGGCCGATGGTCAGTTATCTGTTGTATGAGCTGACTTATCAGATTAAAGAGGAGAATGATTATTACAGCCGAGGGGAGACGAAAAATATGCTATTAAAGTTTCAATGATGTTGTTGCGCGATTTCTTCATTTCACAAAAAAAAAGTGAAAAATTTCAGGGGAAAACTGCTTTCTCGAAAAATTCTATTCAATTTTTATTGAGACTCCATAAGAAGTCTATCACAAAGTTGTTTTTTTGTGTGCAAATTCTATAAAAAATTGTGCAACTGTTCCGTGCGTTTTTCAAATGTTTTTTTATTAAGAAAAGTTTAGAAATATTGATTTTTCTATACTCATTCTGTTGTAATTTTTCCTATAAGAATTGTTGGGCGTGAATTTTCCAAGTTTTGTCTTCTTGGATTTTGTTGTGAGAAACAATAAGAACAATAAAAAAATTAATAAATTTTTTTTTAAATTATGGATAAGAATTTCTATAGAAAAATTGAAATAAAAAATATTGACTGCTTTTATGAAGAATCTTAAAGGAAAAATAACACTTTGCATAATTTTTAATAGAATTAGGGCAAAAAAAGAAAAGAATTGTGTAATTGAATTTTTATAGAGTTCCAGGAGAAGCTAAATCAAATTTCTTAAAGAGAGCGCTAGGTTTTGCAATCAAATACTTCCCTACGTGTTTCTATACGTTTCCGAATGATTAAATAGAAGATTCGAATGAAACACATTTTTTTTTCTATTTTCAAACAAAAAGAAATTGAGAAGTTGCAATGAAAAAAAGTTTGAATGCGTTTCATTAAATTGTTATATCGAACAATAAAAAAATTCAATGCATGTATACGGTTATCAAAACTATTTTAATAATGAGGTGAAGATCCAGTATTAAATGTTAAAAATTTACTTTATTTCTATTTTTACATGATGAATGAATAATTTTTGTACGAAATATAGATTTTTTACATTCCTAAAGCTGCTTTGTACGCCTCAATCTCTTTATGCTCCCAGTGGGAACCTTTGACCTTCGATAAGTATCTAAAACAAGGGAATTTGTTGATTGGAGAGTGTGGAACATAGTGGGCGGAGTGTACACCGTTAAAAATTTCAAGGAGACAATCTAATTTGGAATTTCAATTCCACTAAAGCACTGAATATGTGTGATAACGCGTTCAGAGAATCCAGTTTTTTTTTGGTTTCATAACTCCATCAATCGATTTTATCAGCAAAAGAAAATATTGATGGTCTCAATGGATGAAGTTTCTCAAATTTTTTAGGTGAATAAAAAAAATTGAATCCTGTAGATTTTTCAGTGGAAAAATTTTCAATTTGAATTTGAAATTTTCAACTCTGGTACAATTATTTCATGGGCCAGTTGGAACTATTTTACCTGCTTTGAACATTGCTTTCGTAGCACAAGGGGGCGATATTCAAACAGGAAGTTTAGAAGAGACATTTAATAAGTCTTCGATATCGTGCGCTAAATATAGAAAAATAGAAAAAACCGAGACTTTAAGTGCTGATAATAAACTCAAGTGCGCAATGACCCCAAAGATGATTATATAGCGAGAGGTTTTGTTAGTCTTTTAGACTTATATGCGATTGGGATTTTCCACATGCAAAAGTTCAAATAGAAGCGTTGATTTGGAATTTCAAGTCCACTGCGGCATTGAATACAAAGTTATTTTTCGGTTTCATAAATTCAGCAATCAATTTTATTATCAGGAGAGAATATTAATGGCCTCAATGCACGAAGTTTTTCATATTTTTTAGATGAATTCAAAAAATTCCACTTGAAAATATAAAAAAACATGGAGAAACTTCTGATTCAAATAATTGATGCCTCGGGGCAATTCTTTGGATTTTTCAATGCAAAAATTTTCAATTTGACTTTGAAATTTTCAACTACGATACAATTATTTCATGGGCCCACACAGGAAAAAATTTAATAGAACAACCTAGCGAATTCGCTAGGCAATCTATTGGATTTCTCTATTAAATTCTATTAAAATGTTTAACCGAGAATATTCTGTAGAAAAAGTAAACAGAATTCGATTTTTCTATACAACTTATTCTATTGAGATATTTTCTATAGAATTTTTCATTTGATTTTTCTGTTTTTTTCATCAAGAAAAAGAAACAACAAAACTTAGAAAATTTGAACCGAGGAATGAAATCTCATTGACTTTTTCTGTAGAATATTTTCTATTGGACATTCCACTCAATAGAAATCCAATCGTCTAGCGAATGCGCTAGATTCTCTATGGAATTTTTTCATGCGTGCGCTAGATACAGAAAAATAGAAAAAACCCGAGACCTTAAGTGCTGATAACAAACTCAAGTGCGCAATGAACCCAAATATGATTATCGAGCGAGAGGTTTTGTTGCTCTGTAAGCGATCTTCCAGACTGATATGCGATTGGGATTTTCCACATGCACACTTGTTACCAAGGGGACACGAATGCCCATATCTAGAATAATTACCTCTCCACAATTTCGTTCAGCGATGTTTTTTCCTCGTCTGTGATGCCATTGTACACAACATCCAAATTCATTCGCAACTGTTCCAAGTTCTGCATTCCAATGAGATTAGTCGCAATGTCGGGGTTCTGCATTGCGTACCAAACAGCTAATCTCGCCAGTTTTAAATCGTGATCGTTGCAGTATTGAACTGCCTGACGACATTGGTTTTTCGTTTCTTCACCCGCTGGGTGCCAGTCTGGGGGCCCTTCGTTTGTCAGGAGGCCCATGCAGGGAGCCGATGCATTTATTATTCCTATTTTATGGTCCTGAGAATATAATTGGAGAGAAATTTTGGGAACAAAATTTAATAGAAAAATTTGAGTAAATGTCTATTAATAAAAAAAAATTCAATTAATTTAAGTAGAAATAAAATAGGATTTTATTGTAAAGGGAATACGCTGATTTTTCAATTCACTTTTTTGCCCACGACTTTTTGTAGAAAAAAATTTGAAAACTCAGAATAAGAATAACTGTAGAGAAAGCAATATCTATTGAATTTTTTTTAATATAAAAATATTGATTAAAAAACGCAGGGGAAAATTCCACAATTTTTGATAAAAAAACTCACAAAAATTGATTTTGGCATTGAATTTCAGTAAAAGTTGAATAAACTTCTGAAGTCGTTGATGAGTTTTGACCGAATTTTGTATCATTTTGTAGTTCTTGGCCTCTGGGGTCATTAGCTGATTCGAAAGATATAAAATTTAAGTCGTCCAAATGTCATTTTAATGCATTTGTAACACGGTGGGTAATAGGTTCTCATGGGTGTGCGGGGTAAAATGGACTCATTTGACTTTTCTTGAAATGTTATTCACTCGTTGAATTCTGGTGCAAAGGCATAATTGTTCTTCCTTTTGGCAACAAAATTCTTTCTTCTTCAGTGGATGAATTTGTTTTCAAGTTATGAAGATTGAAAGTAAAGTTCAGTGTCCATTTTGCCCTAAATCTTCATCAATCAGCCAACGACCTCAGAGGCCATGAACCTCAAAATAATAAAATTCTAATGAGACTCAAATAGAATTCCAATAGGGTTTCAACATAAATTCAATAGAAACTGAAATCATGAACGCGTGTGAACAAAATTTGATGGAATTTCTATTACACATTTTATCAACTCAATTAAATATGCGATAAATAGAATGTTTTAAATAGAGTTCTAATATAAATTGAATAGAATTTCAATAAAAATTTAATAATTTAATAAAAATTCATTATGAAAATAACGAAAGAAAACTGCAGATAAAAATAAACTAGAAAAAAAACAGTTTTAATAAATTAAAAGAAATTGCAAATGACGCGATTTCTTATAATCACCTGGAAAAATGGGATATACGACAGGAGAGTATCATCAATGAGTGTATGCCTCGCATACGATAATATCACAGATATATTAATGTTGCTCTTATCAATGCACTCTTTCAAAACAGAAACTGGATATCCCGTGATTCCGATGAATCTGGCTCTTCCCTGGCGGACCTGACGCGAAACCTCTGGCAGTGTTTGAGTTATGATGATGTCCAGGGATGGAGCGAATTCTACATCGTGAACCTACGAATCCGCAATGAGAGATGAGTTGTCTCCGTTATTTAACCCTAATTGATCACCTGACGCGAACCTGCGACTTGGACACCTTCGCGGGGGTTTGCCGCCGCGTTATTTAGGCTCCGGCGTTGCCGAATTCACTCTACACTGCCCGGGCGCGTTTAGCGAGTTTCCGGCAACGCCGCACAACGCGCAATTTCACTGAACGCGGCGAAAAAATTGTTCAACTGTTGGAAATGATTTTTTTTCTCCAAGAATTTGAGATGTAATTTTTTTTTTAACGCCAAAAAATTTTCCAGATACTTCAGTTGATGAATTTTTTTTTTTTTTCGGATTTTTCCGGGCAGCCAGCAGATGCCAAAAAAAGAAGAAAAAAAAACGCGCTACGGCGTTGCCCTCGCAAATGGTGACCAATCGGGTTAATCATGATGACTCAATCACACTCACTTGTAAAACATCGACATAATCGAGCTGAAGGAGTTTCAGGCTCTCTTGAACACTTCTCCGTGTTCTCTCGGCAGTGAAATCGAACATGTGTTCGAAATTCAATTCATATCTTCCGACTTTTGTCGCGATGTAATAGGCCTCTCTGGGGACCCCTTCAAGGGCCTAAAATCGTTGCCTTTTGAGAGAATGTCTTTCATTTTTTTAGGCTTTGGTTGAGTAATAGGTGTTACAGGTGAAAGTTCGTTCAATTTCCGTGACCCCGAAGCGAAAAGTGAAAGGAATTATTATTTTTTGTTTAGAAGATTTCAACATTTGGCTTATTATATTGAAAAAAAATAGTGAAGGATTACAAAATCATGTATTTGCGAAATTATTCAAGTTCGAAAAAATTGAGCTGAGTGATTTCTGTCGAAAATATCTCAATAGAATAATTTGTGCAGGAAAATGGAATTGTAGTAATTTTACCAATTGAATATTTTCCGCTGAACATTTCTGTTGAAAAAAAAACGCGCAGTTAAGTTACGAAATTTCTCAGTAGAATTGGCCGCAAGCTAATAGAATTTCCTAGCAAATTCGCTAGATTTTTCCACGTAATTTTGTAGGGAAAAGGTCGCAATGTTTTTAGGCGGATTAAATCTAAAATTAAACGAACTTCTTCCTAAACATGATATATGGAATGATTTTTACTTTTCCAATGGTTCTTTCGGATCGACCTTGACCATACCAGGGGGCTGTGTCGATATAATTAATTCCCTTGCGGAGGGCCTCACGCACGGTAGCAATAGCCTCCTCTTCATCGTACGTCCTAGTTACAATCAAGTGAATGAAGACTAAAAAAATCATTGTTCAACTGGGGTTAATCTACGCATTCAATTAATTTGATATAAAATTATTTACTGTCTGCAAAGGGTTGTTTTTCATAAAGTTAAACACTTTACCCCACTACTGGTCCGTACAGTGAACTCGGCAGGTATCACAAAAAATAGGATGCGTTACACGTGCGTGCGAAAAGTGGAACTTTACGCACTAGTAACGCACTAGTCTGAGAAGAATTAAACTATTGATTGGGGCTAAGAAAATGTTGAGAATTTTCTTCTCACCCGTAATGACAACCAAGAGGAGCTCCCCCAAATGATAATTTACTGACCATCAGGCCAGTCTTCCCCAGAGGCCTGTACTCCATTGCTCTGACAGCCTCCAGGTCGTGGAAACCCTCGACATATGTCGCTGGTAAGCTAGACCTGCGATTTCAGAGATGAAACGAAATCGATTAAATTGAGGGAGAAAATGTTCAATAATTCTATAGATAATCTTCCTCATTCACATTGCATCTTGCAAAAAATTACTTTTTTCTAAAGGTTTTCTTGTTTTTAATAAATAACAGAATTTATGCAGAAACTTTCGAATCCTTTATGTTTTTGAATGAAATTAATTTCACGGTGGAAAATTGATTATTTCAAGAATTGAACTTTAACAATTATTTTACGAATTTCAATTTTTAATTTTCATTTTTTCCAAATTTTTAAAATGTTTCCTAACGAATCAAAATGAAAAACAGTCTATTTTTTATTTATTTTTTTTTATTTTTATTTTATCTATCAAAAAAGGGTCGTAATTTTCTGAAATTTAGTATCAATCGCCCGTTAAATATCATCTCTGACATTTAAATAAAAACATTGAAGAAAATTTGAATAAAAAAAAATTAGTCACGAAGTCCTCAACATAGTGACTAATTACGATAAAGCATTTCCTACGCATAAACAAAAAGCGGAGCAAAACCGAGATTTTAAATCTTCAATCTCTCACGATCGACACAATCCATCGAATTTCCCCCCTAAGTATCAAAAATAGACCTCGAAACTGGCGGGAAAGCCCCGAACGCCCCTAATTTTCAAAATTTCCCCCTCAAACCCGTCCTCTGCCCGCGTCACCCGCGACCTCGCCACCTCAAACTCGCAAAAATTAATAACCCGCAGACTGCACAATACTGCATCCGTCTGCACCCGTCACCGCCCGTCAATCATCGAGCCTCGCTCATCAAATCAAAGTCATTCAAAAATATCCGCACAAATCCCCGCGAATGAAAATCAATGCAATGCACTCACATTATCTCTCCGCAGCCTTCACTTTCAAACAAAGAAAAAAAAACGACAACTAAAAAAAATCATGTCCTCGCTATTGGACTCGGCGAACGGAACTGCCCGCTCAGCTGCCTCTCGCGTCTCGCCTGCAACCGCAGTGTTTATCCCCTTTTTATGTTCTCCGATAACCCAACAATGTCGATATCAACGGTACCCCACACCCAGGACTTAACGATGTTCACGAGAGAAGTGGGATATTCGAAAAATGCAGCAAATGTCACGCAATTTTTTTCGCACATTGTTGAATCCATTTAGGCATTTCTTGCAAAATTTCAGAAACCCCAGGGTCAGGGCAGCAACAAAAATGAATTCTAAAGTTGCTGCGTACACATGAGGTTAAAGGGAGCATCGATAACTCGTACATTTTCCCTGCATTATCAACAGACTGGCAATGTGGAAGAATACTGGAATTATCGATGACCCATTAATTAAACCTCATACACAAGCAGCAACATTAAAATTGATTTTTGGTATTGTCCTGAACCTGGGATTTTTGAAATTTTGCAGGGGGTGCCTAAATGGATTAAATAATACGTGAAAAAAAGAAATCTGCGGGTGGCTGAAGCTTCGATACCGTAATTTTACGTGGATAAGTCCACGGCTTCCCTTTCCTTCACTGAACATTGTAGTTGTTCAGTGAATATATTGTTACGTATTTGCCCTTTTCCTCCCTCTCAACCACCTTCATGTACGATCGCCTCTTTCTTTCCCATTATTCTTTTATCTTGTTTTCTAGTCCACGGACGCATCAGTCCTTTTTGTATTTCTTTTTATTATTTATTTCACCCGACATTCTTTTAATAAACATTTATTCTTATCAAATATCTCGTATTTTACAATATTTATGTATTTGAAGAATTCTGGATTTCGCACCGTCGCGTCATGATAAAACGTTTCTTATAATCACGATACGATTGAATTGTTATGTACAACCAAAATCCCTAAACAAACGTTCAACATATTTCATTCACAACGAACTCAACACATACAAACACCCTTGCGAATTTTAGCACGGACCCCCAAATTTGATCTATTTTGTGCAATAATAACCAACTGTCGGTATTTTGCCGACCAGCACTAAGGATTCCTCAAAATTGTAATTTATTCATAACCAAAAAACTGGAGAATTTTCTGGCAAAATTTGGAAATCGCTAGAAAAATCTAAATATTTCCAGAGCATTCTAGAAAGTTTTAGAATTACGATAGATGGCAACGCGCCACAGGTATGGCCAAAGCGTCTCTTTTGTATTCGAAGTTTAATAAGTTTATAATAAATACTATTTGTGGTTAATTGATAAATATTAGTCATTACGTTATCCTGATTCGATTTCCCGCACGAATCATCACTCAAAACCCACAAGGAACGACCAATTAGAGGCCCGAGTTGAACGTTAATTAAAGGCCCGATTTGAACGTCGTTAACATCCCTCGGTAAGAGAAACCGCTGCGGCAAAGCACTGCGCATGCGCTCCCAGCGCCTCCCATGCACCCACACACATACACACACACACACTAGTCTCCCGAGCGCCTGCCATGACAGTTTTAGTCGCTCGGTGCTGCTCGATGGCAAACCACATTAAAATCGCAGTTTAGTCCCCATGTTCGTCATCATTTTTACAAATTAAGTGAGTCCCTTGGGGTCGGATGTCAGTCGCGAGTGCTGTCCCCCCGCCGTCCCCGAAAAAACCGTGAAACAGACACCCGAGGGGCCGAAGGGTGTGAAAGTTTTCCACGTTCAACGGAATTTCCTCGCACGCGTTCACTCCCTCGGCGAAAAAACCCCGCAAATAACGGATAATCCGGTGTTCATTAGCTCCGTGACACTAAAAATCGTTCGGTCTGTGAAGAAACAACGAGTGAGGCATGTGTGCGAGCCGATGTGTGGTGCATTCAGTGTCTGATGGGCTGTCAGTGGGGTTCAGTTGACGAGGGGCCGGCTTGTTATGACACAGGTGCACCAGGTTTGGGGGAGTCCACCACCTCCCGAAGGGAAACATTGAGTATTAAATTGAATATTTGTTGGACGAGTGCTTTGGCAGGTTGAGGTTACTCCAGTGCTCGCGAGTGATAATTTCCCGCATTTAGTGACTAGTCATTGAGAGTAGCACGAGTAGAAATTGATTGTCAAGAGCCTGAGGGAGACATAATAATTTAGAAAGTGTTGTTTCTTTCGAATGTTCAACGAATTCTGTTGTTATTTCTGCAAATGGAGTTCCTTCACGTCAGTTTATTGATGTAGAAATTTACTGAGAAATCTGATAATACCATACTAGACATTGATTGTGTCAAGAAGCTGAAGGAGCTAAAATAATTAAGAAAACGTCTCTTTTTACTATTCAATGAATTTTGTTGTCATTTCTCGAAATGCAGTTGCTTAACGTCAATTTATCGACGTAGGAATCATCGAGGAGGTTAATTGTACTGAAGGTTTGGGAAAAGTTGATCAAAAAACGTCATTAATAATACCACAACTAGATATTGGTTATGTCAAGAGCCCGAGGAAGCCAAAACAATTGAGAAAACCGCTCTCCTGTTGACTATTTAATCAACGTTGTTAGTGTCACGTGGAGATGGCATTGAAATTGGTTGAGAAATCTCATTAAGAATACCATTACTAGACATTGATTGTGTCAAGAGCCTGAAGGAGCTAAAATAATTAAGAAAACGTCTCTTGTTTCGACTATTTATTTAATTTTGTTGTCATTCCTGAAAATGCAGTTCCTTAACGTCATTTTAATCATCGAGGAAGCCAAAACAATTGAGAAAACCTCTCTCCTGTTGACTATTTAATCAATGCTGTTGTTAGTGTCACGTGTAGATGACCCAGACCATCGATTAAATCGAAGGATTGGGGGAAATTGATTGAGAAATCCCATTAAGAATACCATTACTGGACATTGATTGTGCCAAGAGCCTGAAGGAGCTAAAATAATCAAGAAAACGTCTCTTATTTCGACTATTCACTGAATTTTGCCTTCATCTCTCCAAATGCAGTTCCTTAATGGAACTGAAGGACTGGAAAAACTTGATCAAAAAACGTAATTAATAATACCACAATCAGATACTGATTACGTCAAGAGCCTGAGGAAGCCCAAATAGTTGAGAAACCTCTCTCCTATTGACTATTCAATCAATTACCTTATTTATTGTTTATATTTCTCAAAATCTCACTCCTCCCCATCAATCTACCAACCTAGAGATCACCGATAGCACGATTCAAACCGAAGGATTATGAGAAAGTGATCGAAAACTCCTGCCAACCCTCAGAAACTGAACAAAAATAAAACCCTTCTGCCTCCGGGGATTCCCCTATCTATGAAACTAGAATGGAAACAAATCCTCAGAGGTTAGATTGACAGTCTTTCCGGCACGCCCCATAAACTCCTTCCCTTCATGCCTCTGACGAACAATCCCCCAGATTCAGTTCTGCCCCGCGAAATTGAAGAGCAAACTGATGCTGAATAAACCCACCCCAATCCTCAATTGATGGAGGATAACCACTGACTCCCCAAAGATGTTCAATTTCATGAAGAAGACAACCGAGAAGGAGGAGAAGGAGAAGAGAAAGCGCGAGAAAAAGGAGCGAAAAGATGTGAAGAAGAGGGAGAGGGGTAGCATGTCCACTGAGGAACTCCTGCGACTCGACGAGATGCGAAGATCCCTGAAGATTCGTGGTCGCCGTAAGGAGAAGGAGAAGTTGCCGAGTGGTATAACAGCTGACTACAGTGCATCATTTTTCGCTCAGCTTGACCGTGACCTGCCTGACAGCTCGATTAATCCAGCTGGTACCAGCTGGACTCGCACGCCAGACGGTCTCACCCAGAGTGACTCGTCCGAGGCGTCGCTGACGTCACTGAGTCATGCTGTTGGTAGGACGCTGCCACCGCTGCCACCGAAGCCCCCCAAGAGAGGGATCCTGAAGGGGCCGAGGCTGAGCATCACTAGTATCACTAGTGTTGTGGAGACAACTGTCACGCAGAATGGCGGTGAGAGTGAGAACAATCACTCGGAGGCTAGCAATCTCCTTGTGAGGAATACACTTCAGAATGAAGTGATTGCTTATCAGAATTTACCGAGTCAGGGGAGCGATGTGTGCAGTGAGGAGGAGTCGCTGTACCGTGGGAGGAGCCCTCAGGGCCAGGAGTCGAAGCTCCTGCTGGTGACGAGTGCCAGCCCCTCTGCTGATTCCTTGACTGACACCACCAATTCCTCGTTTGCTACTCCACCTTTCAGTTTGTCGCCGGTGGGGGAGTCCCAGGGCTTCTCCAGGTGGAGGTCGTCAGCTTCGTTTGAGGATCAGGGGATCGAGCTACCGCTCCCGGGGATCGTTCCACTTGTCATGCAGCAGCCGAGGGAGCTGACCATACAGAGGCAACCTCCTCCGAGGAACGATTTTGGGTTCTCGTTGAGGCGAGCTGTTATTGTTGAACGAGGGGTCAATGGATCCGCGCAGATGAAGCCGGTGACTTTTGCGGAGCCGGGGGCTATTGTGCAGAATAATAATGATACCGGGCTTCTGCCTGGGGATCGGCTCATCGAGGTCAATGGGATCAATGTCGATGATAAGGCGAGGGAGGAGATCATTGATCTTATTAAGGGGTCGGGGAATAGTGTGACGGTTAAGGTGAGTTGGGCAGTTTTTCGGGGAGTTATTGAGAAATTTGTTTTTTGGGGTCTCAAATTAATTTAATTTTATTATTAAATTTTTATTATTTAATAATTTAATTATTAAATTATTAAATTATACACAATGTTATTATTAATGTAATTATTAATTTAATAATTTGATTATTTAATAATTGAATTATTAAATTTCGATTGAGGGATGGGGGAAGGGCTGGAAGATCCTTGCTGGGAGAGGGATGGGAAATATCTCGAACGAATGGAGAAAGTAAGGCGGTTTTCATGAGTACAATCGCCTTGCGGCGGACTTTTATGAAGCCCATTCTATGAAACAGGAATAAACGAATCATAATTGTCCAAATTATTTAGGTCCGAGGAAACAGAATAATTCTACTTTCTGAATATTGCGTTTACTAAGGTTTTCTTCGAACAAAGTTGATTAGAATTGATAGCTAGAATTATGAGATTATCTCATATTCTTGACGTTAAGGATGTTCTACACCCTTTCTGCCGAAATTCACGTTTTTTTAATTTTTCTGGCAAACTTATGATGGAATTGACGTGAAAAAATATAACGTTTTTGCGTTTTGTCATTATTTAATGACTGAGGAAATTTTAAGGTGGTGCGAACATTTTCCTGCGTTTTCTCTAAACTTTTAAAAAGAATCACAAAACTGTAGAAAAAACGCATGAAAATTATCGCACCACTACGCAACTTCGTGAGCCATTAAAGAATGACAAACCACAAAATCGTTATATTTTTTCACGTCACTCCCATCGATAATTTGCCAGAAAAATGAAAACAACGTCAATTTTGGCTAAAAGGGTGTCGAACATCCTTAAGGAATAGGAGAGTCTGAATGCAATGTAGTGAAAATGATGATCGATTTTTTCACTTTGAACAAATAATATTAATATCCAAATACAACATTTCTGATATGAATAAAAAGAAGCTGTGACTCAATATTCCAAATGAAGTTTTAATTTTTAATTTGGTGATGAAAACACGAGATGACAATATTCTAAGCACGGAATTGTATTGATGAGATGAACAACAGATTAATTGAATTACCGTGTGAACTGACTAAAAATTGATAACAGTGTGGGCACGCACTTTTACCAGAGCATCAACCAACATTGAATTCCAGAAATTCACAATCTCTAAAGTGCGTCCTAGAAGGAATTGAGTCGTAATTATGATTAAAACCTTATTCAGCGAGCACAGGAATTAGGACATGAGCAAATCATTTGTTGTCGTATGAAAATTTAACAGCTGATAAATTGGGACATATGATTCTCATCGGTCGTATTGCCTTTTGCAATGAGAATTATTATAAACAATTAACTGAAAAATGTAGCTGGACATAAATTTGCTGAGATTTTTCATGTTCAATCCCAAAATTTGCCAATTTCTTGATAAATTCTGCGAGAACTGTCAACAGTGCAATACCCACAGGAGTTAACGTTCTAAAATATCAAAGTGTTGCCTGTATCAGCAGCATTACAACTCCATACACTGGTACATGCTTTCCTTTCGCACTCCTTTCACATAAACCCGTCCGATGGATGAGCGACCAATGAGTGCCCATAGAGCAACCAATAACGGAATGCACTTACTCTCGGAAAAGAATGTTCGTTCGCGGTATTTCTGCACCTTTTGAGCAGCCAACAATGTGCCCCTCTGGTTGAACCAGATGATGGGCAATTCACATCAACTGGAGGGCATGTGTGCACATACCGGTGTCTGTGGAGCATACGGGTGTCTGCCATTGGTCCACAAGCACCGGTAGTGCCATATACTGGCTCATTGTTCTTTGTCACTTCCGCAACAAACGCGTCGTTGTAACGACAGTGCTCTTCCCCGTTTACAGATTTTCATGGGGGGAATTTCAAACATGAAAAATTCATTTTGTATTCTTCGGGTTATTCCTGATGTTATCAGCACTCGACAGGAATGAGATATTTTCAGGTTTTTTCGTTCTTTATGGCGCGATCTGCTTCTGGGATAACGAAGGGAGTCGTAAAATTTATCTGGAAAACTCGGAGAATTTTTTTAGAAACAACGTGATTGTTTTCTAGCGGCAGTATCTGCGGACTGCATGATACGATTTTTACGAGTCAGGTCTCATTTTGAAGTCTGAAAAAATACCTTGAAAATGAAAAAAAAATCGAAAAATTTCACTCTGTCGTTTTCGAATTATTGAACTTCAAAGTCGTTTCATTTTTCATTTCCTCAGGGGAATTGATGTGGAATGAAAATTACTAAATTGTCAATATTTTATGATCTAATGATGTGATTGTTGTGAGTCAGATTTCATTTTAAAGGTTGAAAAAAATTCTTGAAAATGAAAAAAAAATCTGAAAATTTCACTCTGCCGTTGTTGAGTTATCAACGATTAAAGACGATGCTTTTATGCTTTTTGCCCTAACGTAAACTTGAAGGAATGAAAAGAGAACGAAAATTCTAGATCATTTCACGTTTGCCCATGAAAGTTACGTTGCCACTGATTTTTCTAAAATGATTGATATGTTCAGGTTCAACCAGTAGCAGAATTATCGGAACTATCTCGACGAGGTGGCTCGGATGGTCAACAGGTTGAGCTTGCACCTGCGAACATACGGGGAGGTACACTCAGGCGTTCCGGAAGCCAGCGATTTCATCAGAATACGGTGAGTTATCATTTTAGACCTATTCTAATTGAAGCATTGGTAAATTCAAATTGAGCTCCGAAATTTATAAAAATTCCTTAAGTGTCAAAGAATTTTTGAAGGCTTAGAAAATTGAAGCAGATTAGAAGAGTCTTCAGAAGAAATGAATAATTCAAATGAATAAATAATTGAAGAATAAATTATCTGCGAAAATGCCACATTCATTGGTTCAGTAAAGAATGTGCTTAAATGTCAAGAATTGTCTGGTATATTCCAGGAAGAAATTATCAACAGTGCAATACGCACAGAACTGTAAATATTTCCTAAAGTATTCGTCAAAATTGTTCACTGTTCCATGGAAAATGCTGACCCATTTGAATTGAGGTATTGGTAAATTTAAATTGAGCTCTGAAATGATAAAGAAATGGTTTAAATGTCGAGTTTTAAATTTGAAGATTGAAAAATTCTTTTAAAAAATAATAATTCAATAAATAAATAATTGAGGAATAAATAATCCGCGAGAATTCCAAATCCATTGGTTCACTAAAATAAATAACCCTAATTGAGCTCCAAAAATAGAAAGAAAATGGGCTTAAATGTCAAGAATTTCCTGGTATATTCCAAGAACAATTATCAACAGTGCAGTACGCGCAGAACTTCAAACTATTTGTCACAATTATTCACTGTTCTGCGGAAAACGCTGACCTATTCTAATTCCGACATTGTTAAATTCAAACGGAGCTCTGAAATTTAAAAAAATGCCTAAATGAGAAGAATTTAAAGGCCTGGGATATTGAAACAGATTGGAAGATTCTTCAGAAGAAATTAATAATTCAAAGAAAAAAATTATTGTCATTTCACATAATGAAATCACTTAAAATTTTAATATTTTGTAAACGATTTGTCACAATTATTCACAGTTCCATCGAAAACACTGACCTATTCTAATTGCGAAATTGTTAAATTCAAATTGAGCTCTGAAATTGAAAAAAAAAAATGCTTAAATGTCAAGAATTTCCTGGTATATTCCAAGAACAATTATCAACAGTGCAGTACGCGCAGAACTTCAAACTATTTGTCACAATTATTCACTGTTCTGCGGAAAACGCTGACCTATTCTAATTGCGACATTGTTAAATTCAAACGGAGCTCTGAAATTTAAAAAAATGCCTAAATGAGAAGAATTTAAAGGCCTGGGATATTGAAACAGATTGGAAGATTCTTCAGAAGAAATTAATAATTCAAAGAAAAAAATTATTGTCATTTCACATAATGAAATCACTTAAAATTTTAATATTTCGTAAACGATTTGTCACAATTATTCACAGTTCCATCGAAAACACTGACCTATTCTAATTACGACATTCTTAAATTCAAATTGAGCTCTGAAATTGAAAAAAAAAATGCTTAAACTTCAAGAATTTGAAGATTGGAAAATTCTTAAAAAGAATAATTCAAATTATTCAAATAAATAAATGATTGAGGAATAAATAATCCGCGAAAAATCCATATTCATTGGCTCACTAAAACTAATAACCCGAGAAGATGTGAAAGTAAATAGAAGGAAAATTGAGCCACCGCGAAAGGGGTCGAGTGGGTCGTCATTCAGGATCGGCCAAGCGAACAGTCAAGATGGAAAGAGGTGCATAGTTGGCATTAGGCTAGAGATAAATTGACGCTAGAGTGAGACAGAATGAAGCTCTTGCTTTTCCACCCACATTACGTACCCCGGTGGTAACTGGCGCAGCATAGTAATCATGTAACGGTACACCTCGCCTTCCGTATCGTACTCGTCGCATCTCTCGTTCAAACGCTCGCCAGTTGCTGAGGGAAAACACCTCTAACCCTGCGATGGAACTATGAGGAAGTTCATCAACGTCGAACTTGTGTGAAAAGGCTGGTGTTATTTTATTTGAGGATATTGGAGTCACATTCTAGCCCAAATGGCAGAACATTTGGAATGATTTTGCATTTTTTACATTTAAGGCCCGGGTGCACTATCTTTCGAGTGTTATCTGGATTTTTTTCATCTTTCGTAATCCAAAATTGTCAATTGAGTGGTTCATCATGTAGAAATTCCCAAAAATTATGATAGAATGAATTAAAAAAATGAAAAAAATTCTGAACTTTTTCAAAGAGCGTTTTTAATTGAGATTCAGAATGAGTTGAAAAAAGTGGAAATCTCCTCATGGGGAGTGACAGCTAGGTATTTCAATTTTCAAAACAGTGGTATGTACATCTGCCATTTTTATGTGATGAAAGTGTGATTTAAAAATTCTCAAAAATATTACAACTTTTTTCAGTGTGGGAAAAGATTTACGAAATCAGTCTTCCCCCTGCATGCATAATATTGGGTGACAGGCCGCCATTTGTCAGCGTAAATCAGATACATTTTTCAATTTCTTGTTATTCAACTTATTATGAATATAAATTAAAAATGCTCTTTAAAAAAATTGAGAATTTCTTCTACTTTTTTTTGATTATTCATTCATAATTTTTCAAAACTTCTGCATGATGCAGGACTCAATTGACATGCAATTTCAGATGACGATAGATGAAAAAAACATCGAGATAACGTTCGAAAGATAGTACACCTGGGCCTTAAGCGAATGAAAAAAGTGACGGATGCAATTTATATCGAGATAGTAGACCTTTCTGATCCCAAACCTTCCAAATATACGCACTCGCCGGACGTAAAGGCTCGCGACCGAATCGATCCCGCCCACTCCGGAAGTCTTAAGACCCGGCGAATCTTCGCTGAAATTCAAGAGTACATTTACTTAAATTTTTATATTCTTATCAATTTTCATGGAAAAATTAACCTAAAATTGATAGTTTCCATTGATTTGACAAATCAAATTTTTAATATTTATTCATATTCCAAATTCCACTAAAGATTTCATACAAATTTGATAGAAAATAACATTTTCAAAATTTCAAACCATTTTCATTATTGGTTGACAAAAAGAGTTTTTTAGGAACACAATTTTCCTAGTGAAAATGAAGTAATCATTCCATTTGAATCCAAACGTTCTGCTGAAGGTAAAATAGTTGTTTCATTTTGAGGTAAAACTTCATTAACTGAAAAACAAAATCACAAATAAATCATAATAAATTGCAAAATCAATGATTGCAAGAAGTGTAAATATTTAGATTAAGTTAATAGAACATTACTGATAGTGTAAATAAATCTCGTAGATTTGAGCACTTTAAACATAAGAAAACTGAATAGAAAAACTAATGGATGCACGGAGAGAAATGTTCAGTAACAATTACAGAATTCACAATTCACTCACCGATTACGGAATCGACTCACAATCAGACAATTCAAGTGACGGTGTCGTAATTTTCCACAGGAGATTCAGATAAAAATTACGGAACGCTCGGAAAAAAATCCGTGACAGTTCCGTAAAATTTCCTTCAACTGCCTTTCACCCCGGAATTACGGAAAAGATACGTAATTTTTACTGAATATTTCTCTCCCCGCACTCGAATCGTACGCACTCACCGGACGCAAAGGCCCGCGAGCAAATCGATCCCGCCCAGTCCGGAAGTTCAAAGACTCTGCGAATCTTCCAGTCTGCGAAAATCCCCCAATCAATCATAAATTCGCGATGATAGGGATGCCCTGCACAGCGGAAGTCTCTCTAAACGAAGAACGCTCGATGTCCTTGAGCAGGCGCGCTTGCCCTTCCGCGATGCCATTTCGGTGCGGCATAGCATTCTCATGAAAGCCTATGGCATAGACAATTGAAAACAAAGGGACAATGAGGAATATCGAGGGGGATTACTCCGAGTGCGGATATCTGTCTGCCATTTTTTCAAGAATTTCGAGGGATCGTCAGGCCGAGCCAACAATGAGGCCTTTCAATTTGCAAGACACTACTCTGATATCTTTCATTAATGGAAAATTTTCATGAACTCCAACACAAATGGAGAATTCAGAGTTCGTTTCGAATTTAATAGAGATTTTATTTTATTGTTAAAAAATTATTCAATTCTGGGGAAAGGTAATAATGAAATTTGAATTTGATTTTTGATCTTCAAAATGTATGAATTTTATGAAAATTCAAGTAAAAATTGTTTAGAATTCTCAACTTACTCAAAATTCATTAGAATGTGAAATCTAATTGTCAGAATGAATAAAAAATTTCGTTGTCAGTGGAACCTTCACATTTGAAAGTTCGAATATGAAAAAATTAATCTCCAACATAATTAAAATATTCATGAATAATTCGACCTCAACCCCCATTATAGACCATCAAATTAGAAATTCAAAATGTACCCCCATCCGCAATATTTCCACGAAAAGTAACAAAATTGTCCTCGAAAAAAATCATGTTCTGTAGGCTTATCCTACACGATTTCGGGTTGGACCACTCCACAGAAATTTTACATACGTGACTGTGAATTAAATCCCTAAGAATTCTCACAGTGCCGCCCTGACAATTCTACATTCCACAAGTTCTCCCCACCCGAAGCATAAATAATTCCTGAGTAGCTGGCCTCCATTAACTTGAACCACATCTGCATGAAGTTACAGCAAACTTATTGATCTAATTTTCCACTTTCCTACAATCCTCGGTCTTTGCTGCGGCTTCCTATCCGTGCGATTAGAGGTGAACAGTACCGAGATTCAAATTCCCTCGCACGAAATTCGACATTATCGACACCCAGTAGTGCAGGTCTGAGGAACATTTCCTTCATTATCACTCGCAGAAAAACAGAAATAGTTCCCACTTTTCCCCAGCTCGCTGGATAGTGCAGTTTTTCCTTTCAAAATTCCGTAATTTTTATTTTAACTTCATATACTCAGATGTTTAATAAATATTGATAACGACTTAAAAAGAATTAAGAGAATGAAGAGTGAAACATCAATGAATAATTTTTAATCCTCGATTAATTCTTTTTTTTTACTTTTCAAAATAATCTGATTAAAATCTGCAGTTGTTGAAAAATGAGGGGAGGCTTATGAACTGATTTGATCTCTCAAAATTGTAATTTATTTCTAAAAACCTAGA